TTTTTTTCGTATTGTACCGTCTTCTTCTGCTTTAGTCTTTTTCTCGTATTATGCCGTCTTCTTCTGCTTTAATCTTTTTTTCGTATTGTACTGTCTTCTTTTGCTTTAGTCTTTTTCTCGCTTTATACCGTCTTTTTCTGCTTTAGTTTTTTTTTTCGTACTGTACCGTCCTCTTTTGCTTTAGTCTTTTTTTCGTATTGTGCCGTCTTCTTTTGCTTTAGTCTTTTTCTCGAATTATACCGTCCTCTTCTGCTTTAGTCTTTTTTTCGTATTGTACCGTCCTCTTCTGCTCTACTCATTTTCTCCCACCAAGGCATTCCAAATCCTGAAGACCAAATCCAATTTCCAGGTGCTGAAGGGAAATCTGAGTGCACGATACCCCCATCGTCGCACCGTTTCCAAGAATAAACCAAAACAACAAACAACCATACCCACCGAAGCAGGCAGCATCTCGCTACAACAAACACACCTTGTGCGACATCCTGTCCTGACTTCGAAGGCCAAGGACTGTACCCAACAGTACCTTCGGTAGTGCATGCAAATATTGCACACGGTATGTTCTTCACTCTCCTTCTCACCGAGAACATCACTTACCCACTCAACAGCGAAGCACAGCAATGGTGTCAGCGAAGACCCCATCCAACTACCGCTGAATTTGAGCCGAAGAGAACCCCACGTTCGATGACCAGCTCACGCTGCTGCTTCACAACAGGGAACGACTTGAATGGAGGACATGGGTGGTGCTTCAACATGCGATGACCAAGACAACTTCCGCCACCACCCGCCGATGTGAGCTGGCAACCTCCGTCTTCCCGAACAGATCTTAAGGCCCTGTCAAGCATGATCGCACAGTAAGCCAGCCCCTTTAATCACCTCCTTCCATCGAGTGGAATTGCAGTGGCTAACCTAGCACCAGAGAGATGTCCATCAAACAATGGAGTTGGCATCACACACACGTCTTGTGCTTTCAAAATCATCCATCGGACCAACTTCCTTGTCCGGATAAGAGTTTAACTTGGCCTGGTTGGACGCAATATCGGGTATGCCACCTCCCTCCGTTCGTGAACATCGGCTACCACCGCACAGTGACAGTAGATTAAAACATTGCTTGATTAGAATTAGAAAGCTGGCAGGCAATCTGAGGCTTATGGGATTTGGCAAGGTCTTGTAATTTGTCGGGGTTGAGACGGTGGGAAGCGGACATTGGAAGAAGTTTTCATGTACAGGCCAGAGCGCCGATTCAACGGTCAAGGATTTTGGAAGGCTTGCGGTGGACTGCGGGAATCAAATTGGTTGGATACACACGTTCCCTGAGTGCCCAGCTTAGATGAGATGCTTGAGAGATTGTTGCCTACCTGACCTTAGAGCGGATAAAGCTCTCAGACACAATACATGATTATCACACACAGGTTAAACCTCATGCACGGTGATCGTAACTTGTGTATTGTGCTTCGACTGCTACACCCACTCTCTTCCCTATACAAAATTTTATATATTGATCCGCACCTGTATTTATGCTGCTGGCTCTACTTCCAACCTTACGCCCAGCTCGATGCTTTCCAATGATAGTTACAAGCCTTACTGTGACCCTACTTATCCCTCAATCGTGTGCTAGTACCCCCTCTCTGGCCATCTACCGCATCTACATTCTATCGATCTTGGCTTCAACACCTCTGATTCGATACTTCGAACAGCTAGCGGGAACCTCACAGCAAGTCTCGTCGACCGTACTCATGTTTCCGACATGCTTTCAGATGCATTCAGTGAATTGAAAAGGCTTGCTTGCATACGTTGGTTGCTGGGTTGTGCCCTTAGTGCTAAGCAGTCAGGCGTGCTGTGCAAGTCGGAGCCCAGCTCAGCGTCTTCGAACAGAGGTAACCTCATTTTCACAACGCAAAGCAAGATCCAGTCATACGTAAACTTGCAATCAAATTTCAGAAGTGTCTGCAGTATGGAACTGTGAAGAGCGTGTCCATATCACTGCAGGTGAGCTACTCGTTCCCGTTCGAAACCTATAGTGTCGGACCCGGTTGGCTCGTCCACAGCGCCTGCTTGAGGCCTGGACTCTGAGATCTATGCCACACCCTCTAAGAAACCGGACTCTGGCATACCAGATCAGGGCTTAAGACACAATAGAACTTTCACAATTTCACAACGCTTGGCAGGATCGGCAGAGGGAAATTTCGAGTTGGCAGATGGAGCGAATGGTAATGCAGCAGTACGGCATTATGAGCGATGATTGGAAAAGAGTGCGTAGTGGTGAAGAAAAGCGGTTGCTGTTTGGGGGTCGGTCGCATTCTTGAGGCGTTGAAGAGGCTTTGCTTGGCAGCAGTATCCTCAGGGCGGGCAGCAGGAGCGCAGTTGCAGCCAAATCAGCATTGAGTAGCATTGGCCTTTTCTGATAAACCAGGTATGACACTACAAATTCGCCGCTTATTCTATGGGAAAGCCAAGAGTGCCGGTCTAGAAGTGCTCCGAAAGTATCCATTATGAAGCCTGGCCTCCCACGAGATCCTGCGATGTTGACCATGTGGAACGAGCCAGACCTTCTCCTCCTCCTAGATAAATGACTAGGCTTAAGCCAGGCGCGAACTGTGGGGCTTCAATTGCAGGTATATTTCAGATGTATCAGAAGGTAACGCGCCTAGGCCTCCAATAAAGGTCTATAGTGACTCGTCTTGATAGCGCGACTTCCAAGATATAAAAAAAGCAATCTTGAACATATGAAATATACGCAAAATTGAATATCAAAGACAGCTATGGCACAATTTAAAGGTTTCTGCGGCGTGCAACAAACTAAATGTTTTCTGCCTTAAGTACAGATCGAGTGGCTAGCAGTAATGTGGGCGTTAATGATTTGGCCAGCTGCTGCATGTAACCAAAATAGCTTATTCGCTAGAATAAGCTAGTTCTGAGAGAGGATCGATAGAAAAGCAAGGCCGAGCTTCGCCCTCAGCTACCCACCTTGACCCTAGACCAACTAACACGAGACGGTGAATAAGTTCGCGAAAATCCTTGCTGTAAAGTTGATGACTGGAGGTGGTGCTTTAGATGAGGTTCGCATCTGATATTGGATGGCAATCGCGTCGACCGGCAAAGGCTCCAATATTCACTCATGAATGAAGCCCTCCATTTTGAACAAATAAAATAGACGCAATGATAAAAAGAGAGAACTATGACGGCATTTAAAGGTTTTCGCGGCATGCAACAAACCAATTTTTTTTACGTTAAGTACAGATCGCGCGGCTAGCGGTCATATTAGCGTTGATGACAGGCGTTAAAGACATACGCTAAGGTACAGAGCTATTATAAGGGATTCTACTAAAGTGCAGAGTGTTCTCGCACCAAGGCCTGCCCCATCTCCACGTCGTGGTTATCAAAGGAGCGCCTGCACATGTCCCTCTTGCATCCACTGATATCATAAAAACGTGATATAGAAAAATGAATTGATAATTGAACGTACAACAGGTAAGCCCACGCATAAAGAACTCGAGAAAAACAGGTTTGCCACGTAAAAGTGAATGGAGATCATGATGCCAATAAAATGAGAAAGTGGTTTTGATTTTAATATCACGTGGCACTTATTCACCTCATGCGTTCGACATAATAGAAATGAAGCAAGAACGATAAAAAACATTTCGGATAAATTATTACTCGAATGCAAAGTTATAGTAGCTCGCAACGTGATATCAATAATTGCGAAAGACTGAAAAATGCGAAGGGGAGGGGAAAATAGCCGGCAGTGGGAATTCTATATATTCAGTAGGATGACTAAGATGACGCTAGCCCCGGCTTGTTCCTCTTCTGTGACGAGCCTCAAAATTTCAGGTACACTAAAACTTGATTAATAGCTGACTAATAGTAGGGAGAGAAACGCTGAAGGGACAGCTAGCTGCATCGCGCTGACGGCGGCTATCGCAATAAATTGAATGCTCGATGGAAAGCTACTACTAGCTTCATCGCACTTGAGAAGGCTATTACTAGGAATAGAGTGCTAAAGAGACAGTTGCTTGCATCGTGCTTAAAAACGCTACCATTAATAGTATTATACCGCGAAGTTCGGAAAACTTATTTCGTAGCTTGCGGCCGGGCTAAAGTTTACGATTAACATCTTTTTTATCCTACGTATAATTTCAAAGTGTATCTCTGATACTGTACAAAAGTAATGCGGCGTTAATGCTACAGTATACCGCGATATCCGGGAAACTTACCCCGCAGCTTGCGAAGGGCCTGAGTTTTAAGCTTGCGGCCGAGCTGAAGCTTAGAACTAACATCTTTTTTATACAACTACTACGTACCATGGTACAGGCCTAAGTATTACGTCGCAGGCGTAAGTATTACCCCTCGAGGGTAGGGAAAACAGGGGGTTTAAAGTGGAAACTAAACTTTTAAGGCACCCTCGAGGGGTAATACTTAGGCCTGTACCGTGGGTAGTATCATTTTAAACTGTATTTCTGATACAAAAATGATGCGGCGTCAATGCTACACCGCGGAATCCGGAAAACCTGCCCCGTAGCTTACGGCAGGCCGCAAGTTTTAGCTTGCGGCCGGGCCGAAGCTTAGAAGCATATCATAATCCGCAAAATACGTTTACACCCTTTTTACATATTTTAAAGTGTATTTCTAGTATAAAAATAAAATAGCGTTGATGTCGAAAGCCGCGGAAGCAGCCTTATACTCGCGGCGACCGTTGCTAAGCAAGGTCCCCTGGCCCCGGAGCAGGCTCCGGTGCTAGGGAATGGACCTCGTACGTAGTATTATCAAAGAATATGCTACTACTACGTAGTAGTACGAATTTGCAGCACAATTAGTCTCGAATATTATAGATCCGACAAGGACAACGCCAAAGCTTCGCCCTGGCTTCTGAGCATGAGAAGTGTCGAAGATCTAAGCTCTTTATCGCCAAGGCGCTAGCTTAGCCGAACATCAACAGATCACCTCGTACGATACGGCGGTCTATGAGATGATGCGGCAAGCCCACCGAAAATGGCACGGACCAAGCTATACTTTTCGATCGGTGGATGGGAACTGATATTCTCTCATGATCGAAGGGAAGAGAGGTTAGGTTTCCTGCCTCTCCTCTCATAATGCAGTTCAAAGCTAAGCGAGAGATGTAGGGTGAGGGTTAAGTTCCGTAGCATGCTCTCCTCTGCATCTCTAAGGTCAAGCGGCTTCATCTTTTGTACTTCTTAGTAGAGCTCCGAGACTTGATCAACAGCCATCTAAAATTATCTACGGGAAGTGACGAATGTATAGAGTTTCCGCCCAGACAATCGGAGTTTGTTGCAGCTATTCGAGAAGGGAGGTGGGGGTGGGGGGTGGGGTGGGGGTGGGGGGACAGAGATTCGAAGATCTGAGCTCACATTTTGATGCCATAGACTCACGCATGCAGAACGCGCTGGGGGGATAGTAAAAGTAGTTCTAGAAGTTAGTAACTTGGCAAAGAGTATGAAGAGCCCAGAAGAAAAATACTTGAAAAGATTAGCGGTGTAGATAGTAACAGGTAAGGCCTTACAATATTGTGATTAGGTTTAGCAAGATTTAGTTATAAGTACACCGCTTTTGATGTGTATTTCTTTCTTTCTGGAAACTAGGAAAGAGAGGAAGAGTATTACTAGCTTCGCTTTACAGAGAGGGGTGTTTAGCTGTCGATGCTACCGAGCCGAGCCGAGCCGAGCAGGCTTGCGGCTGCATCTTTCTATCTATCTAGTATCTATCTATCCGTGCAGCAGATATGTATGCCCGAATGCTGGACATTTTGAAGAAGAAGAGAAGAAAAACAGAATCCTGTGCGGTATGCAGGTAGATGCAGATATACTAGTAAGTTTTGATGATAACTGTGCAGCTGCCGCTTATGCACAACAACGATCTGCATTAGGTACATACTACGTACTACGTACGAAGTACAAGTACCACGGTACAGGCCTAAGTACTAAGTATTACCCCTCGAGGGTGCCTCAAAAGTCTAATTTCCACTTTAAAACCCCTGGTTACCCTATCCTCGAGGGGTAATACTTAGGCCTGTACCGTGGTAGTAAGTACATATCTGCCAAAAACCACTTACTGTACTCAAAGCCCCAACATCGCTACCGAAAGAGCGTCAACAGTAATGTCTTGGTCAATCCTTATTCCGATAGACATGATGCAGGACTGACCGTCTACGGTATAGCGACCTCTTACTACTACGTCCCAGGCGTAAGTATTACCCCTCGAGGGTAGGGTAATCAGGGGGCTTAAAGTGGAAACTAGACTTTTGAGGCACCCTCAGGCTGTAGCAATTCGGGACGGGAGTGGCAAGTTGTACTACGTACTACGTACGTATGTTGCACAGAGAATACAAGCAAAGCAAAGCAAGCGATTGGGCAGGTCTTCGCGGTTTAGACCGCGCTGTTGGGCACAAAGAGGGGCTACGAAAAAATGAAAATGTGGGGTGCGGGAAGGGGGGGCGGTCCAGTTCTGTTTCTGACTTTCTACGTATCTTCCATTTGGTAAGCTCTATCTACCGGTACTACTATCTCGGAAAAGCTCTGCCCCGTCTCCCTCCCCCCCCCCCCCCCCCAACCCGTTCCTGCGATTCACTACCATTCAGTGCAGTGGTTCGTCCGATCATAGCTGGGATCGGACTTCATCTTTCAAGGATGAGAAGAGGGAAAGTTATGCTACAAGTTGTAGTATTTGATCGTGTCTCTATCGATGACGGCCGAGCCCATCGAACGCAGGCTTTTTTTTTGGAGGCTTGGGAAGGATGAAGAAGATGAATGATTACTGATCAGATCAGAGTATCGGTGAGTTTTCACTGGTTAACGGGCGTGGACGAAAATCCAAGGTTTGCGCTATACGAAGGTATAGTGAGCGGTTAAGTATTATTTTTCACCATGTCGAAAGCAAGGGGGGTGTAACGCTTTAAGTTAACCTTATAAAGTATGATTTTACGCGACGAAGAGCAGAAAATTTCAGCTATGCTGCTTAATCAAGTGAAGTGTCCCGTACCCCTCTGTTGACAGGGTAATAATAGTTAACCGCTGTACCGTAAGGTTTTCAATTTGGGGTGCCAGGCGCGTCTAGACCGTCTATTGCCAGTGTATCTTTTAAGCTTCTTCGGCTGGGCGCAATGCAAATGCTACCGGTAGACATACTACGTATAGTACTACAACTTCCGTCTCCATATGCTTTCTGGATTCGTACTTGTGATTGTACTACTACCTGTCTTCGCTCTATAGTCCGGTACGATGGAAGAATACTCGTCGATCGGCTCTTGACTTTTGCGCCAGATCAAATGCATGTCTTTGTCCTGGAAAGTACTACGGACTATCACGAGGATATGTTTCAGTCTTCAGAGTTTCGCTATTGAAACCGTCTCCTGCATGGTGTCGATAAGCGAGTCTGACCTGAGTCGACCCGAGCCGACTCCACAAGTCTAATCAACAACGTCGGAGATGTTATGCCTCCCCGGCAGGGTACTCCAGTGTTGCCATTGGTTCCATTCTCGTGACCCTGGAAATCACTCGAGAGCGGGGCTTGTTTGTCTGCGTAAAGCAAGAACAATCCCAGTTAGGCAAAAAGTTCAATTGATTAATTGGTACTGGTACTACGGTAGTTGTTGTTATTGTTGCTGTTGCATTTATTAACGTCTAGCGGGCTATAGCATCGCAGGCTCATCACCCTAGGACCTCCCAAGGGATACGTAGACGTGCAAAGCGGAGGTTTTATATACAGTCCGTGAAATCGGTCTTCCAAGCGCCAAGCCCTTCTACAGCAATAATCTTCTCTTGAATCGATCTAATAGGTATCATCCCACAATACCCCAGAATGCAAATTCGAAAAAGTGCTGTCCAAACGAGCGTCGATAACGTTTGAGTACTCCCTTCCCCTACGGGCGGGATATGGATAGTACGAGAAAAGAAGTGTACCCGATCAAAGTTCAAACCCCGATGTCCTTTCTCGGCTCCAGGAAAGCCCGGGGTTAGTACTGGTGGTAGCATGGCAGGGCTCGATACTGCCTTCCTGGCAATTTCCACGAGCTTGGGGTTGGCTGATTCACAAAAGCAAAAGGACGAAAGCATCATCCGCTCTCTTTGTGTAGAGCTCGGTTCGTGCCGTGGTTTGATCCAGCAGTTCAACCCTAACTCTATGAGAAACCGACATTGGCTATCCTAGAGGATTCCGAAAACGTCCGACTCTTATTCCTTCGTTCGGATCTTTCATCACTTCTTCTGTGTAAGAATCTGTTTCTGGAAGGAAGATTGAAAGTCTTCGGATCCATCTTACAACTACCACTAGTACTTACTACAGTAGGACAACTAGCCCTGCGGGCCCCCTTCCGCGGACCCGATAACGCGGCGACGGTAAAAATCGATCGCTGGGCGTCATCGACATAAACACAAATTGATTGCCATGATCTTGAGTAAGTACTACTAGCTTTCGTTGGCTGCGCCCTCGTGGCGGCGGTGTTGGCTGGTGGGCTCGTGAGTCGTGACGACGTTTCTACGGATAGCCCGTTGGACACGGCTATTTTCTTCGCGGCTGGAGAACGAGAAAATAGTTTTTTCTTGTGCTCATTTCGAGATTTGGGAGGCAGGCTGGGCCTGGGCCAATGGGCCCGATCAATTACAACTACTCCGTACAACCACCCTCTCTGAACCGGAGAATAGACGTCTGAGATGAGCATGGCGGCAAGACCTCCCAGGCGTAATAATACTACAACTAGTACTTAGTAATTACCGCCGTGCAGTATGCTCGGCGCTATTCCCCTCCTTCCCCCCCTTCCAGCTCCGCAGAGCGTGCTCAGCACGCTCCGCGACCGTGGTTATGGGAACAGCATTGACTTGGCTTCGGCGGTCTTAGCGCGACCCTTTGAAGCAACTTTCCACCTTCGCAGTTTGGAAGGGGTCGCAAGTCTATACTCTGCATTCCATTCACTTCGGAAAGGAGGGAGAGCCTTTTATTTGGTCAGAGAGTGCGAAGGCGTGTGAAGCATACCTCGAAAAAGATGTGTTTGGCCTCCTCGTTCGACATGGTAAGCTTCCTGACGCAATATCCGGGGCCGCTGCTACAACTACAATTATAGAAGATGCACATCTCATCGTGGGGCTCCGGATTGCGCGAATTACAGTATCATGCTTTTTACGTTACTTCTGATATTAAGTACTACAATATCTACTACGTACGTACTAGGTACGTAGTACGTAGAAGGGCGAAGATACGCCACATCGCGCTGTCAAGAATAATGTTTAACCTTTTCCCGTGCTTGCGGATATACTACTAGCCTAACTACCATGCCCCGCCTTGAAGAGAAGACGGACCCAGTTTAGCTCCATAAATCGTAGAGCGGTGGTTTCTGAATGGCTCAAACAAAGCCTTGTCAACTCTATTGCACAGACTAAAAGTTCGCTCAAAGAAACTTTTCAGAGCTAAATCGTTATAAATTACTTAGTAATTGGTTCAAGCCCTGGTCAGAGCCCTTGCAATTTATACTTTCGTTTCCTATTTAGGGGGGTGATAGTAGTACTGTAATATACGGGCTACCGAAATTATATATATCACTAGTGCTTCTGGTATTTAGTAGTATGAGCCCGGAATATGAGAGATGGCAATTACCCAGTGCCCGCTGCCCAGACGACAGTGAGCCGCATTAGTCTTTAGACTTCTGGGGAAGCTAAAGCACATTTCCGAATACACTTTAGAAAGAAGTATAAAAAACGGACAAAAAAATCCTTTCCCTGGAGCTTGATTTAGCAGCACCTTGTAAAGTATACAGGAACTAGTCAGATGCGCGATCGAGCCGTCTTAAGATCAATGCTGGCCTTTCGTGGATGCGATTGGGTTGTGTACACTCGGCGGATTGCTTGACGGAGGCTCGTAGCCAAGACTAGGTGTTGGCTTATTGTTATTGTTATTGTTATTGTTATTGTTATTATTATTATTATTATTATATTTATTAACGTCGGGCGGGTAGCAAGTTTTGCCTGCCGCCCTAGGACCTCTTATAAGGTACGGCGACGTGCTAAATACGTAGTCAAAGAATTATATATAAAGTACTACCCCCCCCCCCATGAATACATGTCGAAAGTACTACGTATAATTCCGTAAGAGATCTTACCATGGCTTAAACCAATCAACTTATAAGGATTCAGCTTTGAAAAGTATTTTTGAGCCAGTATTTAGTCTATTCAGTGGAGTTGACAGGGCTTTGAGCCATTAAGAAACCACCGCTCTATAATTTATGGGACTAAACTGGGTCCGACATGTATTCATGGGGAGGGAGAGTATCTAATCGAAAGTAAAAATTACGTCAAAGAAAAGCTCTTTTCAGATAGCCTCGGGTCTCTAATCTCGCAGTATCGCACAATCCTTATAACCCTTAAAAGTATTTCAAGTTAGTATAGCGCAGCTGCTATTGTTATGCTTTTCTTTTGCGAATGAGATAGATCGCAGAAAAAAAATATCTTCGTTAAAAGAAAAACTTGAAAAGCAAGTTACAGCGTAAGTGACGTATATCGGTGTTGACTGTCGAGATGATTCGAAGCCGGACCGAAGTCAGCTAAGTGGCCTTTTCGAAAGCGCAATATCGTAGAACGTCTTGATCTTGAACCCCTTTCAATCTTTTTCACCCCGTTCGCCTTTTTTCGTAAATCTTCTTAGTATTTTTCATCGGTATGCTCGTCAAGTATAAATCGTAATCGGCGTAGTAGTCGAGGTAGAAGGAGGCTCGTTAGGATAGCCGGTAAGGATAAATCTTTTCGAAAGGCCCACCGTGATTCAATTTCGGCTTTCCAGCCTCTCTCTGCAGCAGGAAAGAGAGTTGAAGGTTCGTAAGAGGCACCTCGTACAGGTAAAGAATCGTAGCCTACCCTTAGGTATTGTCTTGACAGACTGCAAGTAGAGATTATTGTAGAAGATCTGAAGTCCTTCTTTATTAACCTGGATCTAGTCTATCTACTACTAGATGCCTTTATTCTACTCCGTAGATTCGGAGCGAGCTGCTTGAGATCCGTCAAATCTAATCTGACCCCATTCCTGTCGGACATCCCAGCATGAGCGAGTCTCGGTCTAGAAAAGCAAGCGCCCTCGTTGGAGCAGTGTGCACGTGTTGATTGAAGCTGTATCAACCGATATCCACCAGGAGAGAAACCCGTCTCTGTACCGGGCTTGAATGCATGGATCTTGGAACCACCGAAGCCGATAGAAACAGTTGTAGCATGGCAACCTCCGAGACCATCCATCCACATCTGAACACCATTGCGACATATCGCCCCCCGCGTTCGTGGCGACTCCGCCGGCTTGTAGAAGCCAAAGACCCTGATATACAGAGAGAGGAATGTGGTAAGTATCTCTCTCCCTCCCTGGTTCAGGAATCGGGAAACAAGAATGCTGGCAATCAACCGTGTCAACCAGATATCGTCAAGTTACGTAAAATATGATCATCCTGGAACACGACATATTTGCAGAATCCCTCGCTAGTACAACATTCACAAGTTCATACCGATCCTAGTTTTATGAATTTCCGCTTCATGCCGCACCGCACCGCACCTCCGTCCTGTCTCGGCTGAGAAAAGAGGTATACATCTACGTATCCAACTTCAACATTAGACTGAGCCCGGTCCGGCCTCGATACCAATCGCTTTGCGACTCACACAGCTACGCTTCTAAGCTGGCTACAGCAGTCTGTACCTGCTTGATTTTCTTTTGTGGGTTTGCCTAGACGGGAGGCTCCCTTCTCACTGTGATCCATCCTATCTGTAGGAGAAGGGCGCAGACGACAGTAGCCTTCGCTGCAGCACTTTGAATTGATTTCTAGGGCTGTCTTGTATATAACTCCTTAGCTTAGCAAGTCGCCGTACCCCATGAGAGAGAGGTCCCAGGGCGACAGGCTTCGCCTGCTACCCGCCCGACGTTAATAAATACAATAACTTCAACATTATCGCCTTTTCTAAAACAAATACAGCTAGCAACTACGAAAGATTTGCAGAGTCACTCGCTAGAGTAATGCTATTTGCAAGCTTAAACTGATTTAATAAGTTTCCGCTTCGTGCCGCACCGCTCTTCCGTCCCGTCTCGGCTAAGAATAGAGGTATGTAGGTATCTAACCAACTTCAACATTCTCGGTTTTTCTGAACCAAATACAACTAATTAGCGGAGGTCAAGGAAGAAGCGTGACTTGCCAACGTGATTTCAAGTGTCGATAGCACCACCTCCCCTGGTAGGCTCGCAAATTTCAGATGCCTCTCGAACGCTACGTCTGGGATCTGATCGCTGCACGAACCACACACACCACGATGACTTTGCTGCCCCAACTCCTGACCTCTCTCTCTGGGGAGCCATGGGGGAGCGCTGGTCGTTCCTCTGGGAAACACGATGTGAAAAAAAAACATACTACGTAGAAAGATTGAGCTCGTCAAACCTTCTCGCAGGTGTCCAGAGCGCGGCTCAACGGTCAGATCCTCTAATCATCCTCCAAAAGGCGAGTAGGTTTGTACTTGGTACGCACTAGTGGACGATCTTGGTGTAGTAACGGTGCGCCTAGTTCGTCGCTTGCGGTTTTTAAGTTCGCCGTTCCAGCTTCATACTGTACAGAGCTGAGTTCGTTTTATCGTTCAACTCACGCGCCAGAAGGTGGTCTGTTTTAAGTTCGCCGTTTAGACGGTCTGCTAAGTGAGAGATGGCTCGCCAACTATGTCGTAGTTTTAAACTTCTAAATTCTTTTTCGTGACGAGTAAGTAGCATTTCGGGATTTGAAAGAAGTTTGAAATTTGAAGTGTGAAGTGTGCTCCATCCCTTGTGATCGATGAACGGTCGTCCGCGGCGCTGATCGCTACGTTAATAGTGCCAGGTCATACTTTGAGCCCGTTGAATCGGTGCTCCTGGCCAAGGACTCCCAGGAGTCCAGGAAAAAGTCAAACGATCCTTCGCCCGCGCTCTTTCTTCCTTCCAGGCGCTGCTGCTGCTGCTAGCTAAAGGACGTTCAAAAATCTTAGTAAGACCTCTGTAGGTATTTGAAAGGGAATCTATCTGTACAAGGGCTGGTTCACGATCGAGTCCGTACAACTACGAGAGGATTCCTGCGAAGCTCCCCCAGTCATGATTACATTACGATCTTATTTTGGAGAGAGGGGAGAGCCTTGCTGATTTTCGTGTTCGTCGATTGTCGATAAGCGGACACCTCAATAGCCACCAGCCATCGATGGACCGACTGCTTGCTCGCTCTTCTGTTCCCGCTCGGCCTAGGGCTGGCTGGCTCTCCACGTGCGACAGAATGCCTCAGCCACTTCACCCAAGGGTAGTACTGTACTGTAGTACTGTAGGGGGTGCAGGTCCTGTCTGGGCAAGTAGTAGTATGTACTAGGGGGGGCCTGGTAGCTGTATAGTAAATAAAGTTACTTTTTCGATTGCCATGGGTTGTAGCTGTCGTCTACGTACTCTAAACGGATTATCCTGAGCCTGGACCCCCAAAACTCTGTGAGATCATCAGAGGCACAAGAGGTACCGTCCCTTTCTTCCACACTAGTGTTCTTCCAACCGAGTGGCCCCGGAGAACCAGGTTAGGGCCCCCCAAGCTAAGTACCCTCCCTCCCTCTGCCTAACCCTGCCATCCCGATCGAGGGGTTACATGGCGCTACATATGTATGTAGTCTTCCCCATCTAGATCGCCTGCAGAAGTCAAACTTCAAGAATTCCAGCTCTCCCTTCTCTAAGCTCTTATATCTTGCCAATCCGCTCTCTCTCTCTGACTCAAGCCCTCGTCTCCCTCCACCCCAATAACACAACACAACACAACACAACACAATACAACATAACACAACATAACACAACACAATACAACACAACACAACATCACTACCATCATTCCCTTTTCCCAGACGAACCACTTCGAACACGACTGAACGAACGATCGATCCCACCTCTTTTACTAGGCCAGGAATTTCCGAACCTCTCTCAGGAGCTCTCTCTCCCTTTCGCTCTCAATCTCGTCATACTTTTCGCAACTTCATACAACATACTTATCTCTTCTCTTCTCTCTCTCTCTGGAAGAGATTTCCCAGGACATCGATCGGCTTCACTTCAACCCAGCTAGCTACCTCTCTTCCCTACGCATATACTTTACCACCCTCACCATGTGCGAATACACCCAAGTCGAGTATCGCTGCGGCCACGTCCGCTACACAGTACGAGCATGGTGTATCGACTACGAGACGACACACAAGCGATGTCCCCCATGCGTAGTCGCCGTCCAATACAGGTTCGTAGTCCCATACTCCAAAGGGTGGTCACCGCCGTCCTTATCACCAGAACACCCAGCTAACTCTCTCTCTCCACCTCTATAGATTACAAGAATGTTGCGGTTCGTCTCGATCTCCCTTCTACTCTCCTCTCCTCACCAGCCCAGCCCAGCCCAGCCCAGTCACATTCCTCGCCACTCAGCAAGCATCCCCAATACATAAAAACCTTCCCCCTTCCGAAAGAAAAAAGGAGGAAAAAAGAGAGAGAAAAAAATCTGACTTCGAAACAGGAGACTGCCGCGCTCCAGCTATCCACCCGAGCTGGATGATCTACCACCAGACGAAGAACGCGAGCGTGCACACCCGCAGCAGCGTAGCGGGACAATGACAGCGAATCAAACCGGACATAACGGCGTGAAAGAAAGCGGAACGGAACCAACCCAGAAAGCGATTTGCTTGCTTGCGCGTGTGTGTTGTGTGTTTTTCTGGTGGGGAGGGGGGAGGGGGGGAGCGAGCGGGCCACATAATATTGGGATAGAAAAGAGCGCGGCGTCTATGAGAATCATGTCTAGCTATGACTTTTGGGAACTGGGAGAAAGGAGAAGGGGGGGAAGGGAGCGGGGCGTGAAGGGAAGGGTAGTGCGTTGAGTTCGGGTTGGGTTGGGTTGGATTGGGTGTTCAGGCAAAGCGGAAATTCTTCATGGGGTGTTGTTTTACTTTTCCTTTTTTTTTATTACTGTTGTTGTCGTTGTTGGTATTATTGGGGGGATGGGGGGGGGGGGTTTGTTCTTTTTTTTTTTCCTTTGTTATTTAGCGTGGGGTCGCTTTCCGCTCTCTGGGGGATTATCGGCGCGGAAAGGGATGTTTTTGTTTTGCGATCGCAGGCGCAGGTTATTGTCCCGGTCGGATCGTGATATTAGAATAAATCTTATCAGAATCAGAACCTGTTTCTGAGTTGTATCATCAATCATCAATCGTCATCAACACGATCCTTTCGATCTCTCTCTTCTGTTACATGCATGCGCGCTGCTGTCGACGACGTGGGTCCCCTTTATCGAATCACGTAGGTTTGCACTTGTGGCGTTACAGATTTAAATAAGTAAATACATACCGTAAAGTACCGACTGACCGACCAACCAACCAACTGGCATTTCTTTTTTTCCTGATTATGGAGCTGCCGCGCAGTCAGTGAGTGCATTGCATACCTAGGTACCTCATAAGGTATCTGTACATATATCCCCCTACCAACAAAGCACTAGCAAGCGAGGCGACTAGAGCGACTGGAACGCAGGATCGAAATTGTAGAAGAAGAAAAAAAAAAGTGCCCTGATCTTTGATCTCTGAGCTCTGAGCTTTGAGCGCTGAAGAAGTACTTTACCGACGGACGGGCTTCAACTTCAACTTCAAGCTAGGGGGGCGGGTGAAAGGGGAGTACGAGAGGGGTCCACGGAATACTGCATGCAGCGGGGTCTTTTTTCGTTGCCAAGAGGGAGAGAAAGAAGAGAGAAAGAGAGGGAGTTGCTGCGGTTGGCTCATGATGCATTGCTGGCGACTGGAGTAAGTTGTACACGAAATCCCAAGAACCCGGGTTTGCGTCGTAAGACAGGCAGGCATGGAGGTGTGGGCAAGCGTAGAGGGAGGGAGGAAGGTTCTAGTGCGAGCACGACAGCTGCCCCCTTTCTTTTTGGTGCTACGAGATGGGTCATATATACAAGTTTGTATATAATACTAGTAGTAAGTACAAATATGTTATATATATGCATGTATATATGCATATCTGCAGCTGCTCAAACAATATCCTAATCCTAATCCTAGAAATTACCTATCCACAGAAAGCTGGTTGTAACTTGTAACAGCCGGGAAGATTGCTATCCAGACTCCAAGAGAGCTAAGACTGCCATAACCGCGAGCTAGGTTGTGTTTTCTTTCCCCTTGTTCAATTCATTTACGGAGTACGGAGGTACAGCGGTTAAGTGTCGTGACCCACGGCTACTATTTCTAACCCACTTGGGCAATAACGTGATCGCTAGGCACCGAATTCTGAAGAATCTCATTTTAACAGAACCCAATTAGGTTAGAAAAAGTGGCTGTGGGTCGACGAGGGTCACGACACTTAACCGCTGTCCGTATTCATTGTTCTTCGTGCACAGTAAGAGAAAGAGAAAAGATAAAGCATATCGCTTATTTTCTTGAAGAAAAAGAGAAGAAGAAAATTTGTATCTCATACCACACATGCATATATTCAAGGCAAGTTACTCACTGTACGTAATTTATGTCCATGGGGGGAAAGTGTCAGTAGCCAGCCAGTAGCCGTACTGTCGGGACGCGGGAAAATATATATATGAAAATAAGCGGGCTGTGTCTCCGTACGGAGTACAGGTTTTACAGCAGGATGCACGTACGCTTGTACATCTGCTGTGCCCCCCTCCCTTCCCCGGATATCCATAATTTCCGTTGTACTTGCGAAGTATTGCGTCTTCTTCGAGGCAGAACACGGTCAGTTGTAACATAAAATAGGTCCATACGGAGCTTCTGCGAAGCTGCCCGACTCGGAGCCGAGAAATACGCCGTATGTATGTATGCATGCATGCAGCGTGGCATAGCACACCGCATTTCGGTATCTCGTCAAAAGGGGCCTTCCTTTTGGAAGTAAGAATGGTGGAAAGTGAAAGTAAAGGTATACTATATATATATATATATACGAAACGATAGTGCAAGTAGGTGATGAGTATATTATTGGATTGTTACTTAATAGATAGGTAAGGGACGTATTTTATGTCTGATGTTTCGTCATGGTATGTATGTATGTATGTAGGTATGTATGTATGTATGTATGTATGTATGTATGTGTATGCTCGCTTAGCTGAGCTGAGCGCCATGTACCTACCTATCTAGATATCTAGCTGACTTGATAAAGAGAGGCACCGATACCGGTGTGAAGGTAATTAGGGCACTAGTTCATGATTACTTACCCATTCGATTCTGCAATATTTTAAGGAATATTGTTATTGTTATTGTTATTGTTATTGTTATTCAGGGCAAGAGTTGGTTATTCTGCAGAGCCAAGCTATTTAATCGATGCTGCGTACGCGTAAGAAGTTTAAATCTCGTCTCGCTTGTTTAAGCCTGCCCTGGCAGGAGAAGCGAAAAATGGGAGAGAGAGAAAGAGACAGAGACCAAAAGAAACGGCTTCATCTCGAAATCGGAAATATATCTCCGAAGGTAGGGCTGCGCGTTTTGTATTATTACTCATGTACGGAGCGTTTCGTCTATTTAACCGAGGAAGTATTTACCTAGGTAGGTGTGGATAGATACAGTAAGGTAGGTGTGGATTGAATCGATCGATCAATCGGAATTTATCTTTTCCCATCTCCTCCTCACTCCCTTACGTGAGAAAAACATGGAATTCGCTACAGAAGTCCATCCATCCATCCATCACAATATTACTAGGTACCTACTATTTCGAGTACCTGGAACGGTAACCTCTGGCCCGCGTTCATTGTGCCTCCTCCTTGCACAAATAAAGTGTGGATTGCTTGCTTGATACCATGATCTTCAAATCTATGGACAAAAACCAAAGGCCCCCCCCCCAATTTTTTTGACTCAGATGAATCTATCTCCAGCGATATCGCATCGAATATAGCGACACCGACTCGGAGCTCTAGTCCAGCCCTGTCTGAATGCATTTCCGGAAGCCGTTCCCGTCTAGGTGTGAGCGCTCCTTTCGAGCTGTCGACCTCGATAGATTATCAAAACTCGAGGCAACCTATGTATGCAATTCACTTATGGAAAGAAAGCCGTGGTGGGAATAGAAAAGAGAAAAAAGAAAGAAAGCAAGAGCTGCAGCTCGCTTGATCTGCTTGTATATTTTTTTTTTCTTTTTGTTTTTTTTTTACTACAAACTCAATATTCGTCATTTTTCTTCAAGTAACGTTCTATATCTAGGTAGTTGAATTGTTTCTATATCGAGTTCGCCCTCACCGCAATACCGTAATCCTTGATACGGCAAGCCTACATATGCAGAGTATCGGCCACTCTCGTCAAGTTCACCTGGGGTGTTGTTTGTGCCGGGAGGATCTGTTCCGCAATTACGGAGTGATGGAGAGGTTCGGTCTGTCGTTCTCCAGACAGAGCCCACTGTTTTGTCTCTGAGATAACGTCAGGACAATACCCATTCGGCACTGCACATCAATTAAACCTGTTAGTCGTCAAGCAAGGCCGCACCTTAGAACATGTCCAGTCAGCTAGAGGTATTATTATCAAACCCCCAAACCCAGCTTCAACTTGCCCTTGCCAGGTCAGATAGTGGACCCGGACTGTGGGGCGCGACATTCATACTATCCACGAAGGAGTCTGGATCCAGCTCGCAGCTCCCGATATCAGATTCGGATTCCGATCATCTTCTGCGCGGCCGTCAAAAGAGTACCGACTAAATGGCATGAGCCCGCTCTCGCGGTCAAAATGGCTGCATCGTTCCAGTCAAAACGTGCCGTGGCTCTTTGAGTTGCGATCCCAAGTTCCTAGATAGCCTTTCCCTCTTATTCATCCAATTGCTTTCCCGAAACTTTAGGTCTTGATACTGCCCGAAGTGGCTTTGATATTGCGCCCTTCCTCGCCAGCTGCGATGTCTCTCTCATACTCACATGCAGCGTAAAATTCTCCGCAGCAGATGTCTGATGTGTTGTTGAAGGCGTCCGGGATCTGCGGTGTCACTGCGCGAGCTGCACGTACCCCCTGCAGGTAATCAATCCCATCTTTTGAAACGGTCTTCAGAGAGTGGAGTGCCACCTGAATAAACGTACGCGTGTCGGCCGCTGGCATACATTGTGGGGGAGCGTGGGCCGCATTTGATCTCCTGGAAGGACGGTAAGCGTAACTCCTTTTCACTTGAGATGGGCCTCACCTGCTCCCCAGCTCCTCAGCTCCCCAGCTCCATCTCGGATGGCCTCAAGCCAAAGAAGGTATACTGGCAAAACACCTCAGATCACCCACCAGAAGCCAGGAATTGCCGACCTATCTGCCGCGTTCTAACCTCCTCGCTTAACCCACTTCCCCAGCTTCTCGAGCTTCTCGAGCCCGCCAGCGAGCTGCAGTGCCGCCCGAGATGCCCACGTCCCGCTCGAGTCCTCCCCATCGAAAGTCACACAGCATAAAAGGCATACGACATCGTAAGCACGACATCAAGCCACGCTGAGCGCCCTCCTGGTATCCTCTCCCGTCGGTGGGCCTGTCTCACTCGATCCGCCCTGCTGGGTCCTCCCAGCGGCCAATTTTTGCAGCCGGCTGCCCCGAGAACCGCCTTACTCCATAAAAAGCCACCAGCAGCACAGCGTGCCCGTCGAGCTTCGCCGGAGTTCGATGGGCAGGCTATCCTTTGACATGCCAATCTCATGCCGCGAGGACGTACAGCATCACGCCATTAGCCAACAGCCATCCCAACATCGCAGCCGATGGGAAAGAGGGAAGTGGTCCCTGAGTAACTCGAGACTGCAATCACTGGTGCGCAAGCCAGCGCCCTCCGATCGGCACGCCAACATAGATGCCACCACCTACGGAGTCTGGACGGGACGCTTGTGGACGACGACGACCAAAACGGTGGGACACATTTTCATGCCAGATCTTTGAATCTGAGTTGCCTTACCAGTTCGTCAGTCAGTGCAAGTCCAACGCCTCGTCTCGTCTCGTGATTCTCGGAAACATTTACTTCCTTTACCGAGGTGATTGACGATCTTTTTGGAAAGAACATGCCCAATGGCAATCGATACCTAATCCTTGATAATAATCCCTCCTTTATACGCACTAGCAAGCAAGCCTCCCGTCCGATCCACATACATATCATATATGCTGCACGTATAGGTATACAACTATCATACGCATCCCGTCCTCATCATCCTCAACCATATCATACCGTACATGCCAACCATACCCCCGTCTCGTGCCGTCTCCTCCCTTCCCTCCCTTCCCTCCCTTCCCTTCCCTCCCTTCCCGTCCCGTCCCGTCCCGTCCCCTTTCCTATGCATACTATGATTACGGAGTATCCATGCTTAGGATCAAAATCAAAATCAAGAGTTCAAACCAATCCTATGCTATCCTCTCAAAACCCAAGCAAGCAAGCGGTGCATCCACCACCGCCTCCATCCTTCCCTTCCGCTCCCGCCTCAACATCCCTAAATTACATTAGGAGAAAACAACTTGTAGATCTATCCATCACCCAGCTAGCGCTGTTATGATTAGAATTAGAAGTAGAATCAAGAACGAGAATTGTACTTCTCCACGGTGACGAAGGGAAATTGATATGTAAACCCATGGCAAGGAATTAGCGAGGAAGTGAGTCTGGATGTTTGAGCTTGATCTTAATTTTGACGACAGACACTAGATCGGATGAAGGTCACGTGGCTGCGAGGAAATTCTGAAGTCCGATAAAGCTAAGCCAAGCTAAAGTAAGCCAAGTCTAGGTTAAACTTGACTCGGACCAGGTCGATCTATTCAGTGTTACCTTGCTAGTTTGCTTTGTTGGTATTCAAAGATGATATATTCTGTAATTCCTGAAATCAGGCTACGGCTGATCGAATACGCTTATAACAAAAGGGTGAAGGAAATCAATGTTACTGCTGTCTATTGTTATCGTAGACGCGTTATGGCAGTATGTTTTTCCGGTGCATGTAAAGAAAAGCCGCCAGCATCGCTCCATGGCCGAGAGTCTCCCAGTAACGGGCTCCTTACCGACAGACCTCCCCTCCGCTCTATCAAGAGACATCTCAAGCTGCCGCGCTTAACGGCTTTCTATGTCGTTCTGCGCCGGAGACCCAACTCCTGCACCGCGTTTGCGCCAGACACCACCACGCTATCAGCAATCAGAGAACACACGTGATGGACAGCGGCCAGTCTGGGGTGAATTCGTCGCTGGCGGGTATACCTCAAGCCAATCATCCCCTCTTTTATTGACTCAAATGCCAATCCTTTCTCTCTAGAGCCGGTGGAATGACAGCCGCGTTTCTTACATCGCCTCTGGATGTCGTTAGAACAAGGCTGCAGTCCGATTTCTATCGACCAACGTTGGTGCGGACCCCCTTCTCCTCCTCTCCGGCATTCAAGGATTCCTGGAATGCCCCTTCTCTTTCGCTCTTCGATCCGTCACTTCCACGAGACTTTCCAGATCCTCTCGTCTTATCTATCGCGCCGAGCGCTGGCGTACCCTTTGAAAAGGTCTCGGCCCAAACTCCGATTGTCTCTGTTGATGCTTTTAAGAAAAAAAAAGAGAAAAAAAACATCAACTACTTACCAGGTCGTAAGAACACGCTTGCGTTAAGTCCCTCTGCACAACGGAGAACTGAAACACAAGAGCATCCTCTAGTGCTCCCACCTCGTCTGGAAGGAGGAGGGCATGGTAGCTTCATAAGGCGATCTGACACCCCATCTCCTACGCTCAGTTCCCTCTACCGCAATCATGCTTGGCGTGTACGAAGCTGCCATGGAATGCCTCGATAAGGACGCGCGGTAAGGATGTACTTACAACAAAAAACAAACAAACAAACAAACAAACAACAAGCAACACATCCAGGTTGGGCCGCTCAGCTTTTCATCTCATAATGAATAGATAATATACTGTATGACCAGCGAAAAAAAAAAAAAGAAAAGAATTTCGCTCAATACAATATCAATGAAGAACTCCAGCAATGCCATCCATGACTTCTTCTCGTTCATCGCTAGGTAGCTACTACCGGTAGGCATGCAGCCATTTTCACATCATCACGAGTCACGAGGGGGAGTGGAGATAGAAATAAAGACGACAGTTTGTTCGATTAGGCCTCAGCTCAAGAATACTTACTTACTGATCACAAGGCGAAGAGCTGAACCGAATATTTTCTGTAAGGAGGTGGAGAGAGGGAGGAGAGACAGAGGAATAAATATAGAGAGAGAGAGAGAGAGAGGTGAAAACACATTAATTAGTAGAAACGTCTTCCTTCTAACAGCACTCGCATTTATGAACTTCGTGCAGCCTGATCCGCTGCTGCACATAGATACACAATACAAGCCCCGACCCCCTATAAGTCACCGAGAAAGATTTGTTGTAGCCGTCACACGTCAGTCATACTTAGTACTAAGGTAAACTCCCCTTTCCCCCTTCCAGTAACCCTCAGGATCAAACACCAGTGCCGATGCCAATGTCTTTTCGCCGGTGAATGCCAGCTCATTCATGCAGTACCAAGAAAAGCTTGTCAAATAACTGTATATAGGGTATCTCATGGTCGGTGGAGACCTTGTCGGGCCTGCAATTCCAAGTCAGTATTCCATGTCAAGTCGGAGATGGACGGAACATACCTTCATCTGCTCAATCTTCGCCTTGAGGGCGCTCGTCACCTCCGCTGCTCGCTTCCAACTCTCGACCGGAGCGCCTTCTCCTCTAGAACCGTCTGCACTCGTGTCTCTGCTCATCCTCGTGCTTGAATACTGCTGAGGAGCAGGGCTGTTCCTGCCACTAGCAGCACTTGTTCGGCCGTTTCTACCTAGCTCAGGACTCAGTTTGCTGCGGCTGTATTGTGCAGCGTACACATCGCCTGTGTTTTCTTTCTCCTCGCTAAAGGCTGAGTTGAAAGACAATCGAGCACCGCGGTTATGGTATCCAGGTCGTCCATTATCCTGTGCACCGTACATACCTGTATCGCGGTAGATTCCGGCTTCATCGGGACTCTCTCGGGAAGGACTTGAAAGTACAGAAGGGCTATTGACTCGCTCTGCACTGGTGAGTGCACGCTTCAATCTTTCCATCTCTCTGCGCAGCTGATTACACATCGCCTCGGCTGCCTCACAGTCGGATCTAGCACGTACAAGTTGCGTTTCCTTGGCTTTGATAGAGAGAACATCTCTTGTGTGGTCCTCAATCAGCTGGGCATTTTGATTCTTCAGCTCCTGTACTTCCGAGTTCAGACGAGACTTGTCTTGTCGAAGGTCGTCACATTGTCGGAGAAGGCGGTCTTTGTCAAGTCTTAGTTCCTCTAGTTCAGCTCGCTCTACGGCGGCCATTCCAGTATTCCGGGGGGGCGATAGTGGCACAGCGTTAAGTGCTGGTGCTTTGGAAGCAAGCGAGCGACCAGCCAGGCCACGTCCCAAAGCAATCCGAGGTGGGGCTGGTACCTCTTCTTCTGGGGGTGGAGCTTGAGAAACCGGGCGTCGAGGTGATGCGAGATTCGGCGCCGGCGCTCCCCCAGGTCCAGCTAGAGTGCGCTTCATTGGTGCCTTCAGACCTCCACCAGGGGCAGCGAGACCCGATTTGGGTGGTCCTCCAAGCTTGGATCCCGGAATACTTCTTGCTGTAGGTTGGGGCGCCAGAGGAGCTTCTTGAGCATACTGACTCGGGGGTGGTGGGAGCTTCTTGACTGCTGCCGGTTTCTTTCCAACGACTTTTTTGGGCGCAGCTACTGGTGCGGCTCGAGGGGCTGCTTGGGGCGGTGGCTTCGGCTTATCCTTCGCCTTGACTTCTGCTGTCTCGAAGAATTCTTTGATTTTGACTTTTCGGATTTCGTCAAGCCCCTCCAAGTGCGCTAACATAGCTCTCTCGCCCATAATCTTCATGACCGTTCCCAGTATCTCAGCTCCACCAGATCGCAAAACCTCGCCAGATTCCGAGAGAAGCTTCTTTGCAGACTCCACTATGGAAGCGACCTCGGGCTTCGTCGGTGCGACTCGGGTGGTCCTCAGACTTCTTACCAGGAACTTCATAGTCCCTTCTTTGACTTGAGGATTTTTGTGGGCTAGAAATCCAAGAGTCTCCTCTAAACAGTCCGTCAAGCTCGTTGCCAGGAAAACCTGGTCGAGGGCGGCGCCCAGAGCATCTTGTACCGAGGCTTTCTTCTCTTTCATCCTCTCCATGATAGGGCCCATAACGATCGATCGGTATTTTCCAAAAGGCTTCCGAAGCCCCTTGGCCAAAACCTCGATACACTGTGCAGCTTGGGTGACAACTGCAATGTTGGCATCTTTCATGGACTTGGCAAGCCCTCGAACTACCTCGCCAAATTCACCGTCCTTGATCCTTGGCACGTTGAGAGCTGTGAATAGTGCCTCCAGCGCCTCCTTCCGCTCTTTCCACTTTGTCGAAGCCAATTGGTCAGAGTAGTCTGCTGCAACTTTGGAAAGGACATCCTGTGGCTCGAGCATGTCATACGTATCGATCTCCACAGGTTCCTCTTCTATATCGTCCTCCTCAAACGCTACGGCACCTGGAGGAGGCGCTCGGGACATTGCCGCCTGTTGGGATCGTAGAAATCGTTCCTGCTTTGGCGCTGGCTCTGCCTTAATCTTTTCAAATGATGCCTCCATATCCGTTTGCTGTGTGGGCTTCAAGTCGTTCCAAAACATAGGCTTCACAGCTTCTCGGAGCCACCTGTAAAACTCGACTGCCAGATTCGTAGCCTCTGCGCGTACATTTTTGTCTGCATGACCGAAGGCCTTTGCCAAAATCTTGAGCACAGGTTTCGGATCGACCGTCTTGCAGCCATAGTTGTGGAAGACAGCAGTCAAACATGCTAACGTTGCGGCAATGATCTTCGGTTGTTTGTGAGAGAGGGCCGGCAGAAGTTCTTCGATGACTGGCGCAGGGGTGTCCAATTCAATGTATAGTAAGATGGCCTCGAGGGCAGAGGCTTTCGTTGCAGCTCTAGTAGACGATAGACCCTTCTCCACCAACGGGGTGATGACTGAACTCCTTGTCCTAGGTCAAAGTCAGCGCATCCAGCCCCCCAGGCGCTGTGCCGCGACATACCTCGTACAACCCTCACGCCCACCAAACTTCAAGAACGCGCACAGTGCAGCGATACCGTCCTGCTGTGCCGCCACGTTTGAATCCGCCGCCGCTCCCTTCCACAGTCCCGGGTCTTGTATGAAAGGTCGGAAGGCAGGGTCGTGCTCGTCGGGTGTGACCTCGAATTGTTTGGCAGCATCTTCGTACCCAGCTTTCCTGACTTTCCATAGCTAATAATCTCCCGTCAGCCCGTTTGAACCTCCACGTAGTGTGGGCTGCTACCTTGTGCTGAAAACGTTCAGGGAGAGGGAGCGAGCTGAAATCCTCCTCTGCCTCAGCCATGCCGTCGAAATTCGTCGAAAGTGTTCTCGGTTTTCCTTGAGGGGTGGGATGTGTAGGTGGGGGAGCAGGAGTGGCAGATAATCTTCCTGTGACGCGACGAGTTAGCTTGCGCAAGGGCAGGGCGATTTTCATGTTCGCTGCCGAAGAAAGGGACCCAGATAAGTGTGAAGACGATGGAGCATTATGCTTTTCGAGAAAAAAAAGAAAACAAACACTTGGAAGAGGGGAACAGAGGGCTGCGACTGCGACTGCGACTGCGACTGCGACGGCAACGCCTGCCTACCTACTTTAATGAGAAATATCGGTTGAGATCGTCCTTTCCTTTCCTTGCTATTCCCTGTCTTTCGGTCTTTCGTTCCCTTCCCTTCACAGCGGCCTGGAAATTGGCAGAAGCGAATGGTAGTAGTTTCGATCGTTTATCCGTAGTGCCTCAAACAAGCAAGAGGGTGCAGATGAGAGTGGATGTCACGGACTTGAAGCTATTGTTGCTGTCGCCGTTGGATGCGTTGTTGACTGATTATTTGGCGATCGGATTAACTTTGGCCCACACTCTTCGTTGATAGGGAGACCGGCGCCAGCGGCCGCACTTTCATAAGCACTGTACTGTACAGTGCAGTGCCGTGCAATGCAGTGCACCCGGATTACCTATTCCAGGACCATGGGCTGTCTGGCAGTGGCAAGAGCCTCAGTCTCACCCTCGTCGTCGATCATCCCCGCCATGCCATGAGAATGGATGCACAACCATAATCTAACTCCAACTCCAAGTTCAAGTCCAAGTCCAAGTTCAAGTCCTCGCATTCGCGGCTCCCGCTCCCCCTTCCACTCCCGCTCACATTCAACCCCGCCAAACCCTCCTGAGCGCTACTTTTCGGACCGCAGTTTGAGTTCTGATCACAGGTTTCCGTGTAAACAACAACACCAACAACAACACGTTTGCAAGCCCTCGAATCCGGCGGCTCGGCGCGCTGCTTTGGACCACACAGGCACCCACAGCGGTCGGGACATTCATGTATCGTCTATCACGATTGCGATCATCATGACACAAATCTTGACGTCGCGGCAGGCCGAGGAGCTGTAAGGGACCCGATCCCCTGGGCTGTCTGCGCACGCTGCTGACACTGACACCACGCCAGACACAAGTCGATCATAGCCTACCTCTCATCCCAAAATCTCACAAGCAGTGCCGCGGCGTTGAGGGAAGAACTGAGCATTGGGGATACCTTCGATGCTGCGACCAGCAAGAAATACGAGGGCCTCTTGGAGAAAAAATGGACAAGTGTCGTTCGGTTGCAAAAGAAGGTACGGGAAAGCTGCGACATACAGTGGGGGCCCAGTTTGCTGATACGATCTTCTTGCAGATAATGGATCTGGAGTCAAGAAATGTGTCGCTGCAAACCGAGATTGATTCTGCGACGCCGACCTCACTTTCAAGAAGGAACCAAGATCCCAAGCAATGGCTTCCTCGATCTCCCGCAAGGCACACACTCCAATCGCATAGAGAGCCGGTTACCTGCGTTGCGTTCCATCCCATATTTTCTTCGCTCGCTTCGGGCTCCGAAGACAGCACGATCAAAATATGGGACTGGGAGTTGGGAGAGTTGGAAAGGACAGTGAAGGGGCATACAAAAGCAGTGCACGATGTGGATTTTGGAGGACCCAGAGGGTCCACATTACTGGCGTCCTGCTCGAGCGATCTCACTATCAAACTTTGGGACCCTAGCGACGAGTACAAGAACATAAGAACGTTACCAGGACACGACCATACAGTCTCAGCGGTACGGTTCATACCTAGTGGTGCTGCTGGATCTCCATCCTCAGGAAATCTGCTAGTTTCAGCAAGCAGAGATACGACACTACGGATATGGGACGTCTCAACGGGCTATTGTGTAAAGACGATTCGAGGCCACGCCGACTGGGTTCGAGATGTTTCTCCGTCATTCGATGGACGATTCATATTGTCAACAGGGAAAGATCAAACAGCAAGGATTTGGGATGCTTCTTCTGGCGAGCCGAAAGCAACGTTACTGGGTCATGACCACGTCGTCGAATGTTGTGTATTTGCACCCCCGGCTAGTTACCCCAACCTTGCGAAGCTAGCAGGACTGAATAAACCACCTCCTGCAAGCAGTTCGGCCGAGTTCGTGGCGACAGGATCCAGAGACAAGAGCATACGGATTTGGGATTCTCGAGGAACGTTGATCAAGACCCTCATCGGACACGACAATTGGGTACGAGGTATTGTTTTTCATCCGGGGGGCAGATACTTACTCAGCGTCGCCGATGACAAGACCTTGAAATGCTGGGATCTCGAACAAGAAGGGAAGATGGTCAAGTCGCTAGACGAAGCGCATGGGCATTTCGTCAGCTGCATTCGCTGGGCACCAGGCGCAGTGAAAGAAGCTCCAGCTACCAACGGAGTGAATGGAACGCCGAACGGAGCATTTAAGAAGGACGAGCCAGCAAACGTCAGCATAAAGTGCGTGATCGCGACTGGGAGTGTAGATTTGAACGTTCGGGTCTTTGCATCGTGAGCGAATGGACAGGACGGTGGGCATATTGATGCGGAGTTGAGGAGTTAGTTGGCTGAGGTATAGCTAATTGAAGATATGGCTATGATTGGCTACGAGCGAATATATCACGAACGTCATGCTTAGCATTTTGTACATGAGGACTGTTCTTCTTCTCCGACGAATCAGTTAAGAAGTCATTTTTTGTCAACTACTATCCGTATTAGCCTTCAGGGGGTGTGCTGCGAACAGATGTGGCATCTTGAAGTAATTCGCTTCATCTTCCGAAGAGGCATATACCTGCTCATCAAGAATTGGCACGGGACTGAGCTCTAGGCTCAAATAATAATAAGCATACCCGTAGAAGCAGGATCTAGTAAGGAAAAGACGTCACTCGAATAAGGAGATCCCCTCGAATCCAAATCTGACTACCACGTGACTACCGGACTGATGCTAACTCAGCGCGGACGCCTCCATATCAATATCATTCGCGACAGCCTCGGATCTTTTCTTCTCCAATCGAGCCTTTCAGCTCACAACCCACCCCCACTCATCATAGAACGAAATGGCCTCCATGCATGCCTACGCACATAACTCCTCCTCCGACTCTGATGCAGAAGATGACGACGATTTCCTTCACCCATCCACCGACCCCCGCGCCGACGAATTCGCAGACTACAACCCTCGAAAACGACGGCGCACCGGCCGCGACGCGAAGGAGAGTGCGGCGCTTGGTGTTTTTGGGTCGGAGAGTGAGGATGAAGGGGGACATGGGAAGCGGTGGAAAGGGAAGAGGTTGAGGGGGAGGGGGGTGGCATTTGTTTCGACGGGGCAAAAAAAGATCATTGATGAGGACGACGAGGAAGACGTTGATGAAGAGGGAGAAGGCGAAGAACAAGAGGGGTCGGCAAACGAAGATGTGGATATCGATACGGATGATGCGCGAGAGGACGAGCGTTCTGCGCCTCGAGGACTGGGGTTTGCAGCGCCGAAGCAGAAGGGATTGGGTTTCAGCAGTCCAGCGACGAAGAAAATGACGTTTGCGCCTGCGGAGAGCAGTACGCCTTTGGGACGGGGTTTCGTACCGTCTTCTGCTGCGGTACCGATACTGCAGAATGTCGAGGATGAGGTATTGACGCCGAGGATTGCAAGGCCGAGTGCCTTTTCAACGCCGGTGGGTAGCGGTAGAGGAGCGGGGAAGAAGCAGGCCGCGCCGGGGGTCAACGCTGGGTCCTTTGCCGCAAGGATGATGGCGAAGATGGGGTACAAAGAGGGCGAAGGTCTAGGAAAGGAGGGCCAGGGACGAAGTGGGGTTATTGAGGTTACGCTACGCCCGCAGGGTGTTGGGTTGGGTGCTGTAAAGGAAAAGTCAAAGCAGGAGATTGAGGAGGAGAAGCGGCAGGCTAAATTGAAGGGGGAGAAGTATGAGGATTCGGACGAGGAGAGAAAAAAACGCAGGAAGAAGCCGAAGGGTGTATTTGAAAGTGGTGGTGGGAGTGGAATAAGTACTCCTCGAAGAGCTCCAAAGCCGAAATTCCGCACTTTGGAAGAAGTGCAGAGAGCTGCGCCAGGTCTGGAAATTCCGGAAGCTTTTGCTCCTATCCTGGACATGACTGCGCCTGGTCAACGGCTACTCACATCGACCTCTGGACTTCTAACACCTACCGCTGGAGGAGTTTCATTTGAGACTGTCGAGCAAACGGAATCGAAGAAATTGGCGCGACGAGCACAAAACGATCTCTCTGCTTACGTCGAAGAGTGGAAGAATCTAGAGGAGCGGAAAGCTTATGTGGAGATGACCATCGTTCAACAGCAACAGGAGCTCGACGAGGAACAACGTGAATACGAAAGCATGAGGTCTTTCGCGGATACAGTGGCATCCATTTCGCAAGCTGTGAAGGATCTAGAATGGGATCCTGTAATCGAAGCATTGATAGCTGCGGATACTTTAGCTGAACCAGGATCCTCAAAAGCCAGTGAGGAACTATCGGATATCGCTGTTGCCGCTGTGCATCCTTTTCTCCGACAAGCAGTAGAAGGCTGGCAACCGCTGGAAAACCCAAAGCTGGATGGCAAAGCTCTCCAGCTGTTCAAAACACGACATATTCTTGGAGCCACCTCCTATAATGGAAAAACATTCACAAACCAGAACTATGTGAGAAATAACGGTTCGCACCGGATTCATTCGAAGTCTACTACGGCGTACGAAAGTATGATTTACAAGATCATATTCCCGAAGATTGTTTCCGCAATAAACCAGACCTGGGACGTCCACGATCCAACGCCTCTACTGACACTTTTCGATGTCTGGAAAGACTTGTTACCATCTTTTATTCGATCCCAAATCTTGGACCAAGCTGTGCTCGGCAAGCTCAACGGAGCAGTCTCGTCCTGGAATCCGAAGAAGAGGCGGACTAAGGAACTGCCGCATTTATGGCTGTTTCCATGGCTTCAGTATCTACCCGCGCATCATGTCGACCCGAAAAGCTCGACTGGCCTGGTCAGCGATATCAAACGCAAATTCCGTCAACTGATCGATAACTGGGATTTCCGGAAAGGAGTTGTGCCAGGGCTGGAACAATGGTTCACTGTGCTTTGCCCGAATCCCAATAACGACCACTGGACACCTTTGATTATGAACCATGTCCTCCCAATTATGAGCAGATTCCTAAAAACCCCGGAATATTTCATGGTCGATCCCAACGATCAGTCGCCGTATATGAAGACCCTAGAAGGCATCCTAGCATGGCAAGACATTCTCAAGCCCCGCGTATTGGCACAAGTCCTCATCGACACCGTCTTTCCTATGTGGCACGATATACTGCATCAATGGCTCACAGTCGTGGGTCCCAACCAAGAAATCGGCCAATGGTTCGAATGGTGGCGCGATGCCGTCTTCCCAGACGGGATCAAAGCCATCCCCGCAATTCAAGCTGAATTCGAAAAAGGCCACAACATGATCAATCACGCCCTCGACCTCGGCTCCGCCGCCGCAACTCAACTCCCCGCCCCTTCGAAACCCACCCGCATCTCCACTTCCCCGCCCTTACCACACGTCCCCGCCAAGAAACCCGCCCCCGCGGTGGAAGAAGTCACATTCAGACACCAGGTTGAGGACTGGTGCATCGAGAACGATCTGCAGCTCCTGCCTGAGAAGAAGGTGCTGCACAGCGCGGGCCCGCTGTACCGGATCACGGCCGCGGGCAATGGGAAGAACGGAACGCTGGCGTATTTCAAGGGCGATAGCTTGGTTGCCATTTCGCGCAAAGGGAGCGAGCAGGTCGAGCTAAGGATTGATTGGGAGAGTGAGGGGGCGAGGGATACGTTGCTAGGAATGGCGTGGTTGAATGTGAAATGATATGCTGGCGTGTGGTGGTATATAAAGAGAGGATTGAAGATGGTCATATGAAAGCTCACATAGCCTTATGCGACGCCCATGCAGTGACTGCTGATTATTATCAGATGTATCTGCACCTGTCTAAATAGGTACAATCGAGCTTCTTTGGCTATGCTCAACAGCTCGGCGACGTGACGCTTGGGAGAGCAGGATATTGGTAGATGCGGATTTGCATTGTGTGTTTCTCTCCTCGCCATCGACTATCAATTGTCTTCTGCTATTTATTTCTGGACGGAGTCACCAGAAAGAGAGAGAGAGAGAGAGTGTGTGTGTGTATGTGTGCTTCTTTCCCGAGCGCATGGATTTGACGAGGGGAACTTGGCATCTGTATCGTCACTGGTCAAGACCTAGGTAGATTCCTTGATCTACGCAAAGGCCGTTCCGGCACTACTCTCCCCTCTCCCCTTTTGAAGATAAACTACCGTACCTACTCTTGTGGATGGGCCACAGGGTTCCGATCTGGACTGGAAATGTATTTGGTGGAATGGAGTGTGCTTTTGGTTTTTCTTTTCGGAGCTTGGCATTGCGGGTGCGTGACGGGTGAGGAGGGAGAGAAAGAGAGGGGTTGTGGGTGGTGATTGGGTTGAATGGGGTGCTGATCTTGCGGAGGGCACCGGCTTGAAAGAATTGTGTTGTTGGGTTTCGTTGCTTTGGGGGTAGTGGGATAGTGAGGGATGGTTGAATGAAGATATATGTATGTAGAATCAGAAGGGCAGAGAAATGAGGAGGAGGAGGAGGAGTGGATTCATTATTTTTAGCTTGCGTATCAGGTCTAGAATGTTTAACCCAGGCTCTTTGTCGTGAATTATGCTCTGGCTTTTCTTGTTACCTTGACCCACGTTCCCGCTGTTTTGGTGGCCGTTCTTTACTCTGTAAGCTCCCAAGCTGGGGAATACATAGTATTCACGTGATACAATATCTCTAGGATTCCCCTAAGGCTTGTTAGGACAGAAAAGCAGCCATTTGTTAGGCGGAGACCTGTGGTTCTCTTTTCCAGCTGTTTCTCGCACGGCATAGGAAGTCGCAACATATATTTTGCCGAGTCGAGAGAAGCTTGTTTATCTCAGCCTTGACATCACGGAGGTCTGCCCAAAGCTTGTCAGCATATTAAGCTTGCAGATCCTAGCTGTCGGTGGCTGAAGTGGAAGCGTTATCCACTTTTGTTGTGGCATTAAGAAAGTATGAAGTTGGCAGGCAGCGGGTCCCTTGCTTCGACAACAATACTGTAGCGCATCAACGACACGTCCAAATCAACATCTCGTGTATGCGACGGCTGATATTGTGTCTGGAAATGTAGCCCTGTCTGTCTATGCCCGACGATGCCACTGGTGGCAATGGCGGGATGGCAAACCAACTCCGATGTGCAAAATGGGCATTTTCCTAGCTGAAAGGGAGCTGGAGCTGGAGCTGGAGCTTGAATTTAAGTCAATGCCATGTTAGCTGTGTCATCTGCTTTGATCTTCCGCCATGATCCAACTTCACCGCCCTCGATGTGCCCCGGTCTGATGAGCTCATCCATCTCTACTAGCCGAGCGAGATGCTGACCACCCAATGCAAAGCCAGCCCCGCATGTTCTTTTTCTCTCCGATCCTGAGCAACCAGCCAAAGCCAACTCTTCCATCAGCCTCGCACCGCCCGTTGCTCTGCCTACTCTGCTTACTCTGCTTGGCTTGGCTTGGCTTTGCTCTCCTTTCCTCTGCTTTTCTTCGCTCTATTCTACTCTGCTATCGGAGATCCTAATGCTTCCTCTCCTCTGATCACGTCGCGTATCACAACTGCTAACACGCACACTTTGTGCTGACCGGCAAGATGATGTCCCTTCGCAATCGGTACATGTTCTTCACCACCATCTCCATGCTCTTCATCTTCTCCACCCTCTACTACCACCGTCGCATGCCAAAGCTGGTTTACACTGTCTACGATAAGGTCATAGAGATTCCTGCGACAGCCCTCTCACCACCAACACCACCAACACCACCAACACTACCAGCGCCTCCCCCTCCCGCCGACGCGCCTCCATCGAAAGCCTCTCCTGTCTCGACATCTTCGTCTACGCATACCTTAATATACAAACCCCAACCAACCGCAAAGGCCTTCCCAGTTGTGGACAACTTCCCTCTGGCAGCAGCTGCTCATTCCGCCAAGGAGCTCCCTCCGATCCCCTCATGGAACCGCCCGCCTGCAAAGCACGTCCCAGAGAGCACCCCGCTATTCATTGGCTTCACCAGAAACTGGAGATTGCTCCAACAAGTCGTGGTATCATATATCACAGCCGGATGGCCGCCCGAAGACGTAACCTCCCCTCTCGGCCTACACTATGCAAGCTAATCGGGTCTCTACAGATTTACGTCGTGGAAAATACGGGGGTAATGGACTCGAATGCCAAGGGGCGGCTCTCCTTGCAAAACCCATTCTTCCTCAATCACACCCGCCTACACATGCTCGGCGTCAACGTCCTCATTACACCCACACTCTTTAGCTTCGCCCAGCTGCAGAACTTCTATCTCTGGCACTCCATCCAGTCAGAATGGGATCATTACTTTTGGTCACATATGGACGTGGTAGCCCTGTCTTTCGAAGACCAGTACTTCGCCGCGCACGAAAAATCAGGGGTCTCGATCCTGCCACCTTCGGACCCAAAGCATGATTACTCGGATTACATGTCGCTGTATGCTAACTGCTTGAAGGCTCTACGGGATGTCACCGCACCGGTACCTGAGACGGGAAAACCAATTAGGTGGGCGATGCGTTTCTTCTCCTATGACAGGTTGGCGCTGGTGAACGTGGCGGCGTTTGTGGAGGTCGGAGGATGGGATACCATGATTCCATTTTACGGAACAGATTGTGATATGCGTAAGTATTTGTCTTCTCCCCAAAGCCTCCCAACTTGAAACTCTCGTCCTGAAGAGTAGGCATTTGACTAAGATGCGCTGATCCCAGATGCCCGCCTCGAAATGGCTCACATGAATATCGAAGAAGTCCCCTCAGGCATGATCTTCGACGTCGCCTCCTCCCTCTCCGACCTCATCGTCCTCTACCGTAAAAAGAACACCACAGAAGCCTCATTCGAGGACCCAAATGTCATCGAAAAGGAGCTCGCTTTCGAGGCGGAACTAACGCACAAAAAGACGCCTATTAGATCACCCTCTGGCGCTGTACCTATTATTGAGCGTGATTCTCTCAAAACACCATCGTCTGAAGCTGAGACTCTGACACCCCCCGACGTCGAAACCCAGGCAAAAGATGATACCTCCACCGAAGCATGGCTCGAATACGCAGCCGGCGCACTCCATCTCAAACCTTCCAACAATGCGGATGCCAAGAAGTGGGAAGAAGACGAAATACACTCCCCGTCGCTGATACACCTAATTGAAGTCCTGGACGCTATGCAGCGCTCTAAAGGCGAGTCTAGCCGCGGCCGCAACACCTGTATGTACCAGAGTTCTTTTTGCCCCATATCAAAATGTCTCGCGGGACTTTTAAGACTTTCTTACTCGGGGAAATGCTGACCGTCGCACAGGGCAAGCGCGGCAGACTGGCGGCGAAGGCGAACCGTTCTACAGAGACAGTGCCGGGTTCGAGCAGGCAATCTGGCTCACGATCGAGCATGGACGGAACGTGTTTCGCGAGAAGTGGGGACATCGGGATTGTGATATTGTCGCAATGGGATTGACGCCTAGCGATGCGTGGAGGGTGGAGCACGATTGGAAGTCCTAGAGAAAGTTGGGATCGAAATAATTCCTGATTTGGGAGGCACGGAGTATAGACGTGATGGGATAGGAGGAACTGGCGTACAATGGAATTAGGAAAGCAAGCGGGCGTTCACGGTAACACGCATGACAGATCAGGAAAGCATGCCTATGTAGGGATAGCAAACTCTAATGGGACGCAACATAATCCTAGCCACTGGGGCTAAGTGCTTGCTATCAAATAGTGAGTGGACGGGCGGTAAGGGCAGGAGACTTGAGCATATTCCAGCGTTGGAGAATATGTAATCGAATTCCACAAGAGAATCGTTCCAAGATGGGCAAGAAGACGAGCGAGCTCGATCGGCGTGGGTATTGGATGTAAGTCTACATGTGTATCGCGTGCAAGCAATTTCCAGCTCACTGCTGGGGATAATTATCAAGACTCGTCGAAAACAACACATCACTTCTCGGAATCCGCTCCTTCCTGAAGGCAAGGCTCACTCACCATTTACAAATATGGGCACGGTCCACGTCGCACATATCGTACCAGTGTACCACAGAAGTTGAAAAGTCCGCCTTCACACGAACTTAGGTCGAGACGGCGTCGTCACTTTCACTTTCTGACATTCCCAGGTACTCGACATGGCCACCGCTCAAACACACATCAACGACAACATGGCGTTGGAGAGGTACGAGTATAAGCCTCTCCCCACCGAAGAGATCCATATCCGCCTCGTCCTTCTCCATACTGTCACGGAAGAGCAGGGCCAGCCCATGACGTGCGAGATCACCTCACATCCTTTATCGCAATGTCGAGCCTACAACGCTGTCTCGTATGTCTGGGGCCACCCCCTCGACCAAGGGCAAGTCATGTGTGAGGGAAAATTCATCAACGTTCCCGCCAACCTCTACCAGTTTCTTCTTTTATGCCGGACCAAAACTATCGAGAAGCCGTTCTGGATCGACTCGATCTGCATTGACCAAGGGAACGACGAGGAAAGGGGAAACCAAGTTGCCGAGATGCGCCATATCTATGCTCAGTCGAGCAAAACTTTGGTGTGGCTGGGAAAAGAAGCAGACCAGAGCTCAATGGCTCTGAAGTTTATCCGGACCTTATCCTCTGCCCTGAGTGATCTTGACCCGGAAGCGAAGACACGGAGATCCCTCTGGTTTCGGTCTCGCAGGTATTTGGCGCTAGCTGTCTTCAGCCAAAATTGGTCTGCATTTTTCAAGCTCCTAGACCGGGATTGGTTCCGACGCGCGTGGATAGTCCAGGAAATCGCACTGTCGAAGAACACCTGGATCTTTTGCGGTCGATCGCGGATTGCGTGGTCTGAGCTACAGCGAGCGCTCTGGTATATCATCCAGCATCAAACATGGATCTTTGAGTTCTATGTGAGTCCGAACCTTGAGGTGCTGCTTGCACTGCAGCACACTCAGCACGAAACGGCGAACGGTGTCAAGAGGGTCTACTGGCAAGTTCTGACAAGACATCGGCGAGCATTGGCTTCTGACCCGAGAGATGACATTTTCGCTTATTACGGCCTGTCTTCTTATGAGAGTTTTAAGGAGCACTCTATATTGCCGAATTATCTAAATGGTACCAGGGAACTGTATATCGACGCCGCCAGCAACGCCATGGAAATGGCAACAAACCTGGATTTTCTGAGTATCCCGAGGTTGCGAAAGAATGAGGGCATTGATCTCAAACTTCCATCATGGGTGCCAGACTGGCGCGCCTCTGAGGAATTCTGTAGCTCCTTGCTGTACTTCGAGGCCTTGCACGTTGCCGAAGGGAGTGGTGTCAGACTCCTATTTTCCGCAACCAACAACTCGATATGCAGGCCAACTGTCCACAAGGAGCTCGGCCAGCTCGAACTTTCAGGCTACATCGTCGACCGGCTAGAAAGAATAAGCAGTCACTGGGAAGTGCAGGATACGAACGGCTACCAAACCCTCCGCAAGCAGGCCCAAGTCCTGCGGCGAAATCAAGCATACGTGCACGAGTGGGCATCCGCGGTCGGCGTGCGCTTCCCTCCAGACGCAGGCTCCACGTACCCAACGGGCGAGCCCTTTGAAGAAGCCCTCTGGCAGACCCTCACCGGAGGCCTCGCGACGGAGAGAGAGGATGCCATCCGACCCCTCTACTATCGTTTCCGCTCGCGCCAGCGCCTCCTCGTCTACATCCAGCGCCTCGGCCTGTCCGGCGCCCTGTGGCCGTGGATCATCATCGTCATCATCGGCCACGTTCTCCGCTTCGTCGGGGTCCCGAACCCGGAGATGGGCTTCCGGGCCTTGCTGGCGACGATGGTCAACCGCAGGATGGCGAGGACGCGCGCGGGGTACCTGGGTCTGGTTCCGCGGCTGGCCGAGGTCGGCGACTACGTGGTGCTGTTGGAGGGGGGGAAACTGCCGTTTGTGATTCGGGGCCGGGGAGGCGGGGGAGGCGGGTATGAGTTTGTTGGCGATGCGTACGTGCATGGGATCTCGAGGGGGGAGATGTGGGTGGAGCCGGGTGAGGGCGGGAGCGGGGGGCAGGATAGGTGCTCGTCTTTTCGATTGTGCTGAAGCTCAGGGCTGGGTGAGGATTTAATTCGGTGGTCTCGTTGTTCTTTGCGCCCTTCTTTTTTTTTTTTTTTTTTTTTTAATCGTTTCATTATCAAAATGTTAATAAGTCTAGGAAATATATATAAGAGCTCTCATATTATAATAATAATAATAATAATAATAACAGAAGGAGGTGTTTAACATTGCCATCTTGGGTTCCTTCCTTTTATAGACTAGGCGAGAAAAAATAGATGAGATATCTTTCGTCTTTCGTTTCTTTTTTTTTTTTTTTTTTATATATTTTTTTTTTAATCGCTGATGATCGATTGGAGGCTATGTATGTATGGGTTGTCAAGAAGGGAGGAAGGAAGGGGAAAGGGTGACGGACAAGGAGAAGAGAGCTGCTGCTGCAGTCTTGAAAGAAAAAAAGAAAGAAAAAAAAAACATAGGAGAATGTGGATAATTGTAACGGCGGATCGATGGTCGGTCGTTTGGGACGAAGGAACCATCTTGAGAAGGCTCCGCTGGACATGTGAGCGGGTGAGATGTTGAGCGCGGGAGAGAAGGGATCGGGGGCGGGCCTCTGAGCAGCCCCCTCCGTGAGGCGCACGGGCCACACGCTTCGAGAGCGGTACCGGTATTCTCCTCTTCCTTTGGGGGGCCGTCCCGGCTCTCTGGCCTGGAACTGAAGAGGCGCGATGTGCTGCTCGGACAGAGCGTCGTCGACCGTCGAGGCCGTTCTCGCCTCCGTCGTGTCTAGGAGCGACGCCCGATGCCCTGGTTCCCGTGACGTCTGCCAGGCGGGGTGGTGGTGGCCGCTGGCTTCCATCTCGGCCTCCGCACAGCTGCTATATATACCCTCTCTCGTCCCGGGGTCCTGAGCTGGTGGACGGCATTGAGGAAGAGCGTGATGATCGCTGCATGGGCGCTCTCGGTCTCGACGCGAAGCGAAGCGAAGCGGAGGGCTCGGCTCGTCAGGGCGAGCGGTGGTCCAGCTCCAACGTACCTAGCCGGCGTCGCAAACGTTCGACACCTAGGTAGACCGGGAAGCAGACTATCAGCACGTCAAGGCGGGCTGGAGATGGATGACACGTGACTCACCTCGATCCTATTATACGTGCGTCCAGGGTCCTCCCGCGTGCAGCCTAGCAGGCTCTATCTACTACAAGAAACACACCAGTGAGGAATCATCTCGCGCGTCTGTCTATCTCAGCGTTGAGGGTGCGAGGGCAGCGAGCGAGCCAGCTAGGGCTTGCCCACCCGGACGAGCAGACAGATAGACAGACACACCACACCACACCACACCCTCCCTGCGCGAGCGAGCGAGCGCCGCGTGGCCTCCTCTCTAGGTACCTACTCTATCGGGCCCCGTTGCTGCCGTTCCGAGCACGCTCAGCGTGTTTGCACAGTGCGGCGCGGCGCGGCGCGCGTCGGCGTCGGCGTCGGCTCTTCGCTATCCCGGAGCTGAGATCGCGGGGAAGGGATCACGGCAGAAGAGTAGGTACGGTACGGTCGCTGCTCCGCTCCGAAATCAAAAATCAAAAATCTCAGCTAGCTAGCAAGTTAGCTAGCTGCGAGCCTTCCAAAGACTGGCGGCAATGGGGCCTCATCCTGCGTATGTATCCATCCGGCAATAGGATCAGCGAGGGGGGCGCGCGACGTTACTGGTGGTATATGACACGCCGCTCCTTCGGGAGGGTGTGGCCTGCACACACAGTCTTGCAGAACCCGTACAGCGGCTCCGGACACGGGGTGGCTTTCGGCTGCGTGCCTGTTCTGGGCAGGTACGGAAGTTGGTATACCGTAGTCGCGGGTAGGACATCACATCCGAAAGGACAAACGCGGCACCTATCACATCTCCAGAAACGTTCTTCCTCTTTGGAGAGCTTCTTCTGGTAGAGAGGACCGGTAGTAGTCAAACAAGGCCGCAAAGGGGCTTCGGCACAGCCCCTTGGGTCTCCAAACAAGATCTGATCCGTCTGGATGGTATAATGCACCCAGTGTCCAAGTGAGTGGCTGTCTGCATGCTCTCTCTTGATCTGATCCTTGCGCCCATCTCAAACAAGCCGCTCTGCCCCTTCTGTATCCCCGAGATATCGTCTGGAAGTGACCCCTTTCTCGCTAATAGATCATCATCTTGTCATACCGAGGAGAGGGGACTGAGCCCTGCGGGATCTCTCAGCGCAAGCACAAGCGAAAGTAACCCTTCTCCATTGCTAAATCATGAAATACAAAACAGCTTGTACCGAAACGCTACGGAGTAGTTATGGACCATGTGAACCACACCCAAAAAAAAAAAAAAAAAAAAAAAAGGGAAATGTTCCGCGTAGAAAAAATTACATATGTAAATACTTTAAAAAAAGAATCCGTCTTGGACTTTTCCTGATCGCACTCCGTTCACCCACCCGCCACCTATCTACCATCTCGTAGCCAGTCTCCAAAAAGAGCGAGGGAGGAGGAGGAGACTTTTCTTTTTTTAAGGAAATTAAAAAAAAAAGGAGAAAAAAAAAACCAAAACGGAAAAGGAAACAAGAGAGACACCAAAGTTATCAGATCCAACGCCCACCCCAATTCTCAGCTCGCTTCTTTTCGGATTCGCATCTCTCCCGTCTCTCGCTAACCCCCCCCACCCCCCCCCCACCTCCGGCCCGCGCTCTCTCTCTCTCTATCACGAGATCGATGCAAGCCAAAACACGCCTGACAACCTAATTGTTCAACTTCTCGTTGCTAACCTCCTTCGCCTCAGCCTTCTTCCCCGCCAAGAAGCCCTGCAGCCAGCCGACGGCATCACCACCCACCACCAGGCCCGTCGCAATCGCGGCCTTGCCCCACGTCACGATGCCGTCGCCGCCGACCTTCTTCACCTCGCTGCCGTAGACGCCGAACACGTACTCCTTGCCCTCGTTGCCCTTCATCAGCGGGAAGAAGACCATCTTCTTGCCATCCTCGACCAGTTCCCCGGTCGGCTTCTTGACGACGGGGAACTTGGAGTCGAGCGTCGAGAGCGTCGAGTCACCGATGGAGTCGGCCCGCTTGACGTACGGGGAGACGTACTGATAGGGCTTGCTCAGGTAGGGCATCAGGGGGTCGGCGAAGGTGTGCGTGAGTGAAGAGGAGAGGGAGAGGGACTTGGCGCCGTACGGGTTGGATTTGAATGTGGAGATGGAGTCGGAGATGACGGGGTAGGAGAAGAGGTGCTGTTTTCGGACGCGCGCGCGTTAGCAGCGTTTCTATTATCCATCTTTATCGCGTAGGGCATTGGGATCTTTTCTTTGGGCGGGTAAGGATGGAACGAAAGGAACGTACGCTCAGGAATGCCGAGGATGGAGCGTCGCCGTTGACTTGGGGTGCCATTTCGTCTGTCGTCGTTGGTATCTGCTTCTGTATTCTGTATTCTGGTCGAGTGTGATGGTTGATAAATCTGTCGTGTAACCCCGTCAGCTTCAGCTCTTCTGTTTTTCTCTCTCTGTACCTGTCGTGTCAAGCCCTCCCTTCCGCGGCTGAACATGAGCGGACCTGCATCTCCAGGTGCCAAAGCAGTCCAGGCCAGTCCAGTCTCAAGCCAAACAGGATCGAAGCCACTCACTCTTCAATCTGTTGATCCAATGTCCCGTCGTCAGTGTGTGGGTGGTTGTTGGGAAAGGGTGGTCAGAAGGTCGGAAGAGAAGGAGGGGAGACGGGGAGGAGGTCTGAGCAAAGGGATGGATGAGCTCATGTTTTAATCAAGACATGGCCACCGAATTTCTTCTGCTGTACTCAAGGTCTAGGTCCAGGTCTAGGTCTAGGTCTAGGTCTAGGTCTATCTCTAGGTCTAGATATAGAGATAGATCTAGCTCTAGCTCTATCGTAGGTAGCCTTCTGCCCTGCCGCCCATGGAGGGGTGGCTATGGAGTGGAGAAGAGTAGAGGGACATACTACCTACGTACCTAGTACCTAGGGACATGTGCCAGCATCCGGACTCCTATTCCCTGCAGCTGCAGCTGCGGTGGGATAGAGAGACGAGAGAGACGAGAGAGACGAGAGAGACGAACCAGACGTTTTGTTGGGAAGTTTCATCAATATGCATCTGGCTCCGGGTGGGATGTAGGCCAAGAGCTCGTTGGTATGCCCAAGGATGGAGATGTGGATGAAAAGTGGAGATGGTTGGGGAAGACAAGGGATGAAGGATCAGATATTGGCATGTGAAAAGCCGCTGATGATATCATGACCCCGTTTTCGGGATGCTCTTGATGACGTCAGTTGCCACCTTGATTATGACTTGACTTGACTTGACTTGAAATGCAGACGAGAAGAGTTGGTAGGTACCTAGGTAAGTAGGTATGGTAAGTAGAGGTAGGTAGAATACCCATTTCGCCCCCTTTCGTGTTGTTCTTCATCGCAAACAGTGTCGTCGTCGTCGCACAACTTTCTCTCATCTCGGCCGGCTTATCTGGTTGTCTGTTGGTCTGTTGGTCTGTTTATCCGTTTATCTGTTCATCTGCTTATCTGCTGATGTGTTTATCTGCTTATATGTTTATCTGCTTATCTGTTTATCTGTTTATCGGTTCGTCGGTTCATCGGTTCATCTGCTTATGGGATTATCAGCTTATCAGCTTATCAGCTTATCCTTATCAGCTTATCAGCGTATCTACAGCCGTGCAGATCCGTATGTAATCGGCTTTTTCGTGTTGCTAGGTACTTCAAATAGGATTATTACGATACGACGTAAATACGCCGTCGATCCGCTTTCACATGCATGCATGCATGCTTGCTTGCTTGCTTGCTTGCTTGCTTGTTTGCTGTGCTTGCTGTGCTTGTTGTGCTTGCATGCCAGTCTGACATGTGAAAGATGTACCTATCCTGCGTATGACTATTCCTCGCTCAAGCAGGCAAGTAGGCAGGCGAGCAAGCATGTTCGGGAAGAAAAGGAGTATGTACCTAGTACACTAAGTACTGTACTGTACTACTGTACCATGTTTTCATGCAACGGCCCCAGAAGCCGGCCGGCTGCCCGGCCCGAGGATGCAGCGTTGCGTCGTATCGATTATGGAGATGGTGATGGCTTTGGCTTCCAGGCCGAGCCGTCTCGTCAGGGATCGGGTTTGTGCTTTGCTGGAAGTGCCCAATCAAAATCAAAATCGGCATGAGATCGCTGGTTGGCTTAGTTGCCGCTCGGCTCGGCTCTGACGACCGATACTAACCCGACCCGGGCCTTCATGCCCGCAGCCTGTTTCTTGCTTTGTTTTCGGGAAGTGGCAGCTGGAGCGGCTCGTCGGGAGGGACCAGTCCGAGAACTCCATGCCCTGTCCTTCTCCCGAAGTCTCCACCTACCGCAACCGGTCATGCCGAAGGGAGTCGGAGCGGGGCATATCGTAAGTAAGTAGTACTACCTACGATACTCTGTATAGATGGGTCTCTCGGATCACCAATCCGACTCCGAATGATGTGGATACCACCTTGTTGCAGCAGGCTACGTACTATATCCGATCGGTGCATCAACCACCTCGGCCGATTGGGTAGCGAGGGAGGTGTCCCGAACAAAAGAAATATCGATAGTCAAAGTCGAAGTCGAAGGATGGTCCAGCTGAGCAACACCATAGAGTGCAAATGTTGATGCTCTGCAACGTGAGAATTGAGTTTGACAACCGAGATGGGAAGAAGGCTGGCCTATAAATATATGCACTACTTCGTAAAGCTACTCTCGTCCACCGGAGTATCGCTTTGCTGCAGAATATCGAGTTGAGATGCCCTACCCAACATGCAACTCCATGGATGGGGAGACTGCGGGGTAACTAAGCATCTTTTCTTTGCATGCGACTCCGTTATTCTCTCGCACGGTGTTGTGGCTGAAGCTGCAGCCAGTCGTCAAGAACCATTTCGGATGGCGAGTAAAATAAGAGAGTAGCCATGGAGAAGCACGTGGAAGAGCAAAAACTCTCGAGACGGCCTCAGCCGAGTCTTACATCAACCTCCTCTAGGGGGCCCCTTTCCCAGGCTCGCTTGCTGATCCTGCCCAACGTTCTCCTATATGCAACTCCTTCTCGTCTTTCGATCCACAGCACGTTGACGAATTCGTATCGCTCTCCCATGGCGAACTCCCCGTCGACATCTATTTCAAATGGATGAGAACGCCCTGATGCCCACGTTTTGCCCCATTTACTCCCATCGGCTTGACGAGATGGACACGAACCAGTGGATATGGCGATGAACTCGCAATCGGTGTAAGAGGAGCCCAATGGGAGATCGACAGGAGAGACGCTTCCTATGCGAGCCCCAGAGTCGTCCAGAATGTAAGCGTCGATGATCGAAGGCTCCGTACTCCACTTGAACTCCTTTCTGCGGATTTCCGAAACTGAAACGATAGAAAAAAGCCGCTGAGTGCGGACATTGAGTATGGTATCAAAGAGGGGGTTTCGACAGCGATGAGGAGGATCGTGGTCAGGGTGGATAATGGGATATCGATACAAGAGCTTACCGAACGTTCCGGCACCTTTTTCGGAACTTCGTTGGAAATAAGAACTAGCCAAGTCCCTCGGCCAATGCGAAGGAGCATCGAGGCGTGTCCATCCCGCGGGAGCTTCCAAAATGCCACGAGACTCGTGATAGGAATTCGAGATCGGGAAATATTGGTTGCAGGCCAAGCAGATCTTATGCCACGTAACCAATGGCTTGATACGAATGTCAAACCCAAGGAAGGGGCTCTTGCTCATGTCGTCGAAGATCTCCAGGATATGGTCTTGGAACACTTCCCATAGCGAGAGGTCCAGCTCTCCGTACCATCCCATCCAAGACCAGCTCGGCAGCTTCCTCTCTGGATTTGTCAGTTGACGGGGTCGAAGTTTTGACGATGGTTGCCAGCACATTGCGTGGTCGAAAAATGCTTCTGGCATTCCAAAATGTATGGGTCCAAAAAGAGGAACGCTCAGGGCCGAGATTCCTAGGAAAGCATCCGAGACATCTTCTTCAAATGAGAGATCCCGCTGATTGTACTCGTCTACTAGCCTCCCCAGCATCTTCAGATTCATGTTGCGCGGATGAATGAGCCTGTATCGCTGGTTCGCTGGATTGCTCTTTGCATAATCTACATCCTCGACTGCACGTTCAATCTCTTCTCGAAATTGCGTACGCATACAAATCCAAGATGCAAGCCCCTCCATAAGGAGGAGACGTTTTGAAAACATCTGTTCTTGCATCGTCCATGCTCGTCGACTCCAAATCGGGCGTGAATGGAACCCCATTCGGTTGAGAAATTTAAGGCGTTTGTGGAGGGTTTTTGACTTGACGGCTACGGTCTTAGTTGGGAGCCTGATGTACGGCGGCACGGATCGAGATTCTGGGTTTGTGCCAATTCCTTGTATGCCTGCATTGGCATCAAGGCCATTAATGATGGCGAGTGTGAACTTGGCAAGGGAATAGATAGATGGCATGGCTTGGAGATGGTCTTGTTTGGTCTCGTAATCGTCTTGCACGATACAGAGAGCGTCGACCCAGAGGTAATTTACGTCCAGCGCAAGAGTCAAATTCATGGCATCCCGGATCGTCTTAGGGATCTGATCTGCTGCCTTTGCTAGTGCATCTGGTATCCTCATTTCCTCGAGGTTACTTTTGGTTGTCATAAGGGTGGGCACTTGGCCCCAGACGTAGCTCAGAGCGACATATTGTGGCGGTTCCGAAAGTGCCACGATGCAGGACTGTTCGAGATCAATGTAATTGACTGGAGTAGTAGGACCCAGGTTTGTCGAAACAATTGCAGCCGAGCATGTATCGTCATGGGATTCTTCACAGCAAGAAACCCACTTCTTGAGTAAAGAGATTTCGACGCGAGAAGGGTCACAGATGCGTCCCAGTTCACACGATGGGGGGAATTTTAAAGTCGGTTCCAGATACAGACCCTAGGATAATTTGTTATATTTGTTCCTTAGACAAGGTGAGAGAACACTTACCGGAATCCCTGAGAAGCTACTGGCTATTCGAATCGGATTGCTCCACGTCGTGTCATTTCTCTTTATCACAAGTTTGATATCATAGTCAGCTTTCTCATGCCCCACGTACAGTGACGGGTCAAAATCTATCTCGTCTGCTGTTTTCATGTACTCATCCCACGCTGCGAGAAGAGATTGACAGCCAGGACATTGCTGCACTTCGGCACGATATTTGATCTCAGAACGGCGACCAATTCGAGCATCTTGCTCCGGTGTGAGGCCCCGGGGCATGGGTTCACTCCATTTTCCAGATGCTAGTAGTGATTCAAAAGTGGTGATGCACATCTCGAGGGTCTGGCAGGTCGAGCAGAACGCGGAGTTGGAGCTGGATGCTGAGGACAATGGGGCGGCGTGGGTCATGATGAAGCTGCCATCGGGCTTGGAATCCATGGATCGATTTTCATCTCCTCAAGGAGGTTATAAACGGAGTCTGGTATGTTACTTCGGCCATATGGGTCTCTGCAGAGCAAAAAGAACAGATTAATGGGATGGCCTTGGCAGCTGAGATGCTATCTGGCTAATGTCACCTGCATTGACTACCGTGTGACATGAAAGGAGCGAGGCCACGCACGCTGTGTGCATGCTGGTGAGCATCTCAGGATCCAACTGGCTACTGGTATAGTTTTCCTGTCGGGTCGGCAACGATGTTGAAGTTTGGACTGACAGGGTCTTCGTTGAAATATAAGTGTTTGCCAGTCATGTCACGTGTAGCTGCTAAGTATTTCGCGCTAGAAATCCACATTTCCTAATCTCTTTTTTGATTCTTGCCGATATGAAAGCAATCCTTCGACGATTGCAACCTCGCCGATCAATTGATAGAGGCCTATGATAGCCACTGATACTGTATATTACAGCCGACCTCTAAGAACAGCCCAGGCGTCGAGGGCCGTGGAGGGCTTATAGAGAGCGAGTTTAAAAAGGGTCTGCACTGGCCAGGTGAATACGGATTGGTAATCGTCGTATAATATCGCCTAGCAAAGTAATGGATAATCATATAAAGAAAATTGAAGACATCAGGCGCTCGTCCTTAGCTATGGTCGTGCCTATCACCATTTTGACGAGCTCTGCGACCGAGATCCGTCGTGTAATATAGGAGGAGCATTTGCTTTCTTAAAAGCCTTGAACTTTAATCCTTCACTATACAAGACAGAAACCGCAGTCATCCAAATACTGCAGCGGTATCCGCAAACAAGGAGTCACGTGGATTTTCTTTCCAGAGATATCGCCTTTGCTTCGGGACTTTTTTATTCAATCGCGAATCTCAATAAGGGCGAGTCTTGATATACACAAAACTCCTGGTATCCCCTCGATGGATCAGATCAGACGTAATAAGATCATAGCTGACGATAAAAGAATTCGGTTGCCCTCGATCCTCAAAAGTCAACACAAAAGAAGATGGTCAACAAACCGGGTCCTTCTCCTCGCAGAAAATCTATCAGGTGTACCATTGGAACTGGGCTTCCCAGCCGTCTTCAACCCTCGCAGGGACTGATGTAAGGATCACCGAGGCCGGGGGCGGAATCTGTGACAGTAGCGACTTTTCCTGCTCTTCTTTCTTTCACTTCGATTTTCTCAGATCACGTTGGAACTTCCATTCTGCAAAAGTCCAATCGCTAGGATTTGATGCCAGAAGCACCTTCATTTGATTCTTTGCACTGCGTACAGTCCCCTGGAAGCTAGCTGGATTTTGTCTGTCGCTTTCGGTAGGTGGATTAGCGCGTCAAAGGCTTTCTATAGAAGACACATTTCTCGAAGTAGATAAGAGGGCTTAAATTAACGGAGTAATTTATCATGCGAGATATTTTAAATGTGATTTATATCGTCCAGAAACCAATATCTGCATCCAAGCTAAATGCGCAGAACAATATAGAAATCTAAGCAATTTTATCTTCGCTTGCCAGTCAAACTTTTACATCATTTCAATGCAGTAATCTGAGAATTTCGAAGTCCGTAAGGTTCTTAGACGTAAATACTCGTTGGAGCGGCGCTATTCAAAATCAGCTAGGTTTATGTAGGATCCCATCAAGTAGCGTCTGTCATTTACCCGCTAACGACAACCTGTCCATAGTACATCTCAGAGAAGACAAGGAGATTCGCATGCGCAAGAGATACGCAGTCCCCGGCCTTGTCTAGAATTTTAATTCTGAGATGGCCTACGTGTGCGGACCAGCTGGGTAGCTGATCCCTCATCCCTTCCTCATCCAGGAGGAACGTTCGCTTAATTCCCAAACCTGGAATCCTCACTTCACCACACCACAACAGCCATCTTATACACTCCGAGAAAGAAAACAGAGGTCTCATATTTCAAAAGTTGAATCCTCGATCAGCTGCAGGCAGAGGTAGATTCGAAAATTATTGAATACGATGTGTGATGCGCGAAAAGTGGAAATCGAAACAACTTAAGCGAACTCTCTGAGATGGAAGATTTATATGTACGATCGAACCTCAGCTTCTCACAGTGCAGATTAGCCGTCACCACATTAAGAAAACATCGTCTGGACCTTAGAAGCTAGCATCTGAGTCATTTCAAGATCTTTGTCTCCTTAAGCCTACACCTTCGCCCTCCGCCAAGGAGTCGATTATCTCAGCTATGTGATATGAATCAACGCCATCCCATCGAGCCACAAGCCCTATACGCTACGCTCTACGCCATGGGCTCTGTTCCCGAATGCCATCCCGTCGATGGTGCCGTAGCCGTTCGATTGATTGATGGCGCTTGCTGTATGCCTGAGCGGACGATGTATTATTGTTCAAAATCTAAATATCTTCAACGTCATCCTTTCCTTACGAACAAAAAGAAAGGAGTCAGTGGCTGGCGGTTCTGGCGCTCTGGGTTGAGTCTATGTCAAGTCGAATCGTGACCTGACTTATCCTCAAGATTGCAGGCGTTGAAACCTGAAAAAAGCATGGAGTACTATATCCTAGCTCGGTCTCCTGTCATGGCGTCTTATATCTGTCTATCGATACTGCGTATAAGCTACCGGATATCAGGATTTGAATTTGGGAGGCAGAAGGGTGGGGGGGGGTTGATATGGAACTATCACAAGGCCGCAGTCTATCGGAGTCAATCTGGGAATTGAAAGAAAACAAAGTGAGGGGGAAAAGGTGAATAGTTGGCAGTTGGCAATTAGGGTATGCATAAATGCATCTCCTTTTCTGAGAGAATGTTTTATATGCGCAGTAGGAGAAAGAGAAAAAAGATGGAAATAGTAAAATCTTAGTTTGTTTGGATTTTGATATCTACATGCGAGCGAGATGGTTGGCTGATCTTCAATGTTGATGTGGAATACTTGAGGGCTTTTTGCTGCGATTTTTGGCTCTTGGTTCTCGTTTTGGAGAGGTGTTTTTGATTGAAAGGAAGGCACGTTTGGGGACCTAGAGCTAGAGACGGGAGTCATTGGGTGCAGGAGATGAGAGGAGGGTGGGGGGAGGCGATGCCGAATTCGAGGGGAAAGGGATAGAGAAAGGAGAAGAGAGGGGCATCCGAGGAGGAGGAGAGGAGGAGGAGAGGAGGAGGAGAGGAGGAGGAGAGGAGGAGGAGAGGAGGAGGAGGAGGATGAATGTGCAAGCTTTCTGCTCGGAAGCCGCGTCTTTTCTAGCTTAGAAGCCCGGGGCATTTCTGGCTGGCCCACTGGCTGCCAGACTCTCGTGATAAGACAGGATAGAAAGGTGCTGTGCGGCTGACGAATATATGGATGACAGGAAGCGAGAAAGACAGACTCATCAATAGAGATACATGTAAGCGAATAAGGAGCGGCCACGAAGACCCCAAACACCAATACTTGCAGGTATGGAAAAGAAGAACAGACTGGGCTGAGGGGTCTCGTGCCCTCGGTCAGTAATATGGAATAGAGTTGAGAGGTAGGTAGCATTGCTGGTATCAGAATGGTGAACTTGATAATAATCTGTTGACTGTACACTTATTAGACCAGGTCAGAGATAGATGCTTACCTATCAACCCAATCGCTTGATCTTACATGCGCGGACAGTTGTTCTCTTGATCAGAATGCCTGCAGAAACCAGGGTGAAGAGCCATGACGAGCTCAGTCAGTCAGTCAGGCTGGCAGGCTGGCAGGCTGGCAGGCTGTCTCTCTATACGAGCTATCTCTTTCCATTTCCACTCACAGAGAGGCGGTCCTACAACGCAACGCACCGGGCCGCAGCAGAGTCAGATAAGGGTTGCACAACGTCCAGCTTCAATTGCCTATTACTCATTGGTGCTCCTCTCCTCATCTTATCTCATCCTATCCCATCTTACCCCGCCTGAGCCCGAGAAAGATTATACCTACTTACCCCTCATCCATCGCCTGCCTCATCCTTCACCAGAAATCCCGCCGTAATCTCCGGCTCATCGGGCTCAATGCAGACTGCAGAGCTCCGACGTACTCGGTGTGACCTGTCGCATGTCGCTTGCCGCATGTTCGGCACCAGCTCCCTCTCCACGAGCACGAGGCTCGGATGCGCAATCCACCAAGTAGGCGCGCGCGGCCACGCTCGCTCGCATGCGTACAGGCAGGGCGAGAGAGAATTGCCTCTCCTCGACCGGTGCTGTAATGCAGTGCAGTGCTACACGGGACCATGCATTGCATTGCAGACGTGAGAGTGTTATGTGGCCGCCGCTGGGAAGCAATAGCACATGGACGATATCATATTCACGAAGGGAAGAAAAAACTTGACGTTCACTGATTGACGCCGACTTTTTCCCTCTGACGTCTGTCAGGTGGTACAGATGCTGCTGCTGCTGCTGCTGCTACTGCTACTGCCGTGTAACCCGTTGACTGCTGAGGTTACACGAGACGCGAGGCCAAGGGTGTGACGGAAGCCGACGGATCGCGATCTGTGGAACGTCTGGCGGACGCGGCACGGAGAGAACCCCGCGGGTCGGCAGTCGGTATTTGGAGGGAAGGGAAGTTGAGGTTGAAGCGAAGCGAAGGCTAAGCGAATAGAGAGTAAGCACATCAAGCTTGCAGCACTTGCTAAGAGAACGCGGAGACGCGGAGTGTTTTGGCTATTAATATCACAGCGAATAACCGGGGAAGGAAACCAGAGTACGCGGAGTTGATTGCAAAACGAAGAGGAAAGAAAAAAGATGTAAATATATCTTGCGACTGCGCTACGAAAAAAAAAATATATATATTGCCTCAATGCATTACAATTTATACGAAGTCTAGCGACGACCGAGTAAGCCCACCTGCATGCAGGAAAGCTTTTTTTCTTTTCTTTTTTTCTCGTAAAGGAAACCCGAGCCGAAGTTCTGAAGCACGTCAGCAACAAGCGTCTGAAATGCAGTCAGTCGCGTCCGTTGCGTGATCAATGTCGCCGGCAGCGCGAGCAGCTCGAGTACCGATGTTTTACAACGCCCCCTTATCGGGTAGAAGGCTCCGTTCTCGGAGTTGTCAGAAGCTGAAGGTCGGTCGGTATTTATATCCGCACCCGCGAATATTTTCTCGTGAAACATCAGCAGCAGCCCAACCCGCACCCAATCGGCTCCTACTGCTACCGTAATTTGACACGCATGAATTATTAGTATAGAGATATTTATTAATTGAGGATCAGGTGGAAGAGGTTCTTCCTTCTCTCCTATATTTATTTTCTAAATTCGGTCCTTGGTTTGACGTAGAGTAGGGGGGGGGCCCGTGAAGGGATTGGGGCGGGTGAAACAAACAAACAAACAAACAATCAAACAAACAAATAAACAAACAAACAAACATCATGTGGCTTCGCAAGGGCAAGGGATCGGGGGATGCCATGTTTAAAGTTATATTTCGCGGGGCCTTCTCGAAGAGTTCCAGAATAACGAGAGAATCATGGGGGAGGGGAGGGGGGCTTGGCCCGCATGGATACTACGTACTTCTTTTTTCTCTTTCTTTTTTTTTTTTTTCCCGCAATGCGAGAGGGAGGGATCATGGATGATGGCTGCTGTTACAAAGTTCGTAGCCGAGCGGGGGACTACAATGATGCAAGATCTGATTGATTGATAAAATGCGCAAGGAGACGATTCAGCCAAATAAAGTCGACAAGCGTGCGCACGACAATCAATGACTGCTGGCAGCTGGGGTATTCCATGCAGACCCGACGATACCCAATTTGCTCCTTGTTTACCCATGACCAATTGAGTTTCTCTTCTCGTCTGGGGTTCGCTGGCAGGTACTAGTACTAGTACTACAAGTAATAACCGTGCGCTAATGAGGCAAGCTGTGGGCTCTCAATTATACTACGTACTACGTCCCAGGCGTAAGTATTACCCCTCGAGGGTAGGGTAAACAGGGGATTTAAAGTGGAAACTAAACTTTTGAGGCACCCTCGAGGGGTAATACTTAGGCCTGTACCGTGGTACATTCCAACGAGTAATGCCCACCACCGACTTTTACATACTACCGACTTTTGAACGGACGGAGTAATAATGAAACATAACAATTTGTTCAATTTTCTTTTTAAATTTTGAATTTCTGAGCACGAAGATGACCCGAAAATTGCAACTCGATTTCACCACATAAGAAATCGACAATACTAACACTCTTTACTAATTACAAAGATGCAAAACCCTATATACTGCTGCAATATCTCTATAGCATCTTGAAGATAGATTATTTGCATTGAGGTACCGTTAGTATAAAATAATATTAAGAAAATGATAATACCGGCTGCAAGTCCAACTGAAAAGTCGGTGGTGTTTGAAAGTCGGTGTAGGAAGGCGCACAGAGTAGCCGACAGCTTTACCTTATTGGCGGCGCACGGTTGGTTAGCCTACCTACCACCCGACCAAAGTTCAGTCGTTGCCATACGTACGGAATAAGAGCGAGGGATAAACCGACCATGATGATCTCAACTACTCTTTTACTGACATACGCTAAAAAAATATTAAAAAAATAAAAAGCCGCAAATATACGCATGGGAGATCCGGAGTCCATGCATATTAATCTTTTAATTCTTCTTATTTCCGCCTTCTCTCTTCTTCTTTCCTTCTCTTCGCGCGGAGGGGAAATGAGAGAAATTAAAAAAAAAAAAGTCAGTCATTGCATCTCGGTTCTATCATTCATCTCGGACAAAAGAAAAAAGTCTATTTGTTGTTACGAACCAGGTATCGTCGTCCTTCGCCTTTTTTTTCCCGTTTTTCTTCCCACTTCCCCCCCTCCGCTCGCGCGTCCCCTCCCTCCGAGTTCTCTAAACCGACGTACCACGTTTGGTTTTTCCCTTTGTACTACTACGTACTGCGTACATGTTACTACTACCATTAGGCCTATATTGCGGCAGTAAGTTGCCGATTGCATTTGCCTCGGAGGCAATCCCACCACCACCGCCAGCTCCCCCTGTCCCCTTCGTTAGAGGAATCGCCCGATTGAGGTATCAGAGCCGCCCCGTCAGGATCTCCAATGATACCCCAACTGTCCCAATCAACTTCTTTGTCTGAACGTGCTAGTAGCTGTTCTTTTGTGGGAAAGCATTGAGCCCAGAAATCTAACTCGTTATTGTTTATCGTCTCGGTTGGGATAACCATCTGATGTTCCTTCTTCGGACCTGGCATGTAGGCAAAGCGAAATGCTTTTTTCGGGTTCCGCACGCCCATCGACTTGATATACTCATTAATCGCATCGTCGTTTTTAGTCATATAAGTCCATAACCGCTTTCGGGGCGCCCTTGAACCACCGCCCGATTTTGCCGAGTAAGATTCTGGGATCCATATCTTCGGGACCTTTCTAACCTTGTCCATATCCGCTTCGATAACACAGTACTGCGGCCTAGCACCATTCCACCAAGGCGGAGTTGGTTCCCAGCCACCAGGTTTGTTTACTATTTGATTGATTAACGCCGCATCAGAAGTAGGCAACGATTTAGCGGTATGAATTTTTTACTTACCCATATAGTAGCCAGACCCTAACACATTATACTTTTCGCGTTTCCGATCGAAATTTGGATTTCTAACCGGCCTTAAGTTTTGGTTGGTTTCACCGGTCTCCCACTATCATCCGCGGAACCAATATAAGCTTATATTATATAAATTCGACAAGTGAACACTCACGGGAGAAACCGTTCGGTACCCGATAACTTCTCTTCCGTGCCCTTTGCCGAAGAGAAAGCTTGCGGCTAGCAAGACCGAGCAAACAGATTGCGACAACAGCATCATCTTAGCAATACCAATGTCGAAGGGTTGGTAAGCCTGTCGATCGCGCGAGCCAACGATGAGGGATATGCTTGCAACAGGAAGGAGATGGTGAAGAGAGCGAATAGCAAGAAAGGTGACGATGGATATAATCTGAAACCAGGTGCAAAAACGGGAATTATATCTATCGGGCCATATCCATCTTATCCAAAGCCAGCTATTTATAACCTGGCAATCTCCTCGCTTCACTGTATGAGCATAGATGTACTTGCGATAATAAGCTGAAATTAAAAGAAAGAAATCCTTCTGCACCGATCCTCCTCCGGAATAATCATAATAATAATAAAAAAATTTCAAGGTTCCCGCCGAGATTCACATTAAGATTAAGATTAAGATTGAGATAAGGGTAGAGCGGAAAAAATATGCGACTACTACGTACGTACGTGCAGGTCAATAAATAGTAACATTACAGTAGGAACAAGACATCGCGCTAGCAGCAGCGGCAGCAGCAGCAATCACGATTAATATTGGAACAATCAATCAAACCCATCGTTGGATAATATAACTCCTTGCGCCGCCCGCCTTTCCCAAGATCCTTTTTTTAGGAGGCGACGATATTCTTTCTCGCCTGCACGCAGCGCTCCCTCTGCACCCGCTCGCTCTTTCCCGCGTCAACGGGGGTGGGAAAAAGCGGAAATGGGAATCCCTCGCGCTACGAACGGCTCGTCGAGGGAGATCTCTCCCTTCCAAAAGTTCCCGGTGCTGCCGCCCGACTGCCACGCCGACGACGATCTCTATATTTGGCGCGCGTACCGATGGGTTGGCAGAGATCGAGAGGATCGGCGAGGAGAAAAAAAGAAACCAGATGTAGGAGATGGGGAAAAAGGGGAGGGCGGAGGTCGATTTCATCGAAAAACTCGGTATTGACGCACGCTTCCGAAAAAAAAAAAGCGTGTTGCGAATGACCGAACCGGCTTTATAAACACAGAGGCTGCGAAGGCGGACCTTTTGCAGCTCTACGATGGGGAAGAACGATGTTGGTATTTGAGGTACATCGAGGTCGCTTGTAAGGACCTACTACGTACCGTATTCGATAAATCGACGAAGAGAAAAACTCAGCGCATCATATTATAAAACGCCTTTAGAAGGTTTATCAGGCATTCGCGACACCGCGAGATGAAAAGACCCGAAGCGAACTAAAAGAAAGCTTTTCCTTGACGTAGGTAGTTTTTACTTTCGATTAGATACCTAGCAAGTACTGTACTTTGTCTATAATTCCATTACGTAGCACGTCGCCGTCCTCTATGAGAGGTCCTAAGGCCCAACCACTGCGTTTTGGATACCCGCCCGACGTCAATCAGTACCGTATAAGAACAATAATACCCAACTATCCGTTCATAGGGGCTAGGGGCTTGTTTATGAAAAGGTGTCCGTCCATTCATTACCGTAATATGATCCGATGCTACGGATCTCGCTGTAACACCGGGCCGAAGCTGATCTGGCGCCGCTTTCTCCACGTTCCCCATGCTACGTAATACGTACCGTAGTAGGGAGGTACCGGTACGGTAGGTACGATAGGTAGCTTACAGCTAGGTACGATAGGTACCTACCTACCGTAGCCGTGCGCCAATACGGTAAGGCAAGCTGTCTGTCTGTCGGCCAGCTACCGACCCGACCGTTACTCTCAGTCACGCGTTCCTCCAGCGAGCGCGCACCGCCGACGTTCGCACCGCCTGATCTTACCATCAAAATCTCCCAAAAAAAAAAAAAATAACAATAATAATAAAAAAATTAATTAATTGGCGTCTCGAATTCGCCTTTCCAAGCACGAAATCCCATCCGGAATTTTGGGAACCCGGTTTCCACAACCTCAGACATCGCGGGGACCTCCTGCTGGGACTGAGAGTCGCCGAGTCGCCGAGTCGCCGACAGACAGACAGCTTGCCGCATTGGCGCACGGCTACCTAGTTTAGTTACGTAGTTGCTCTACCTAGGGTACTACTACTGTACTAAGTAAGGTAGGTACCGAGCGAACCCAAGTCCGGTCGTCGCCATCGTAAATGACGATACGATAACGATAACGGTGAGAATGACATCAACTAGGTAGGTAGGTAGGTAGGTACCTACGAAGTAGCTAGCTATTCCTTACTTAGTAGTACGTACGGACGTAAGTGCGCCAAAACCCAAATATAGGGAGTACCGGTATGCGCGTGGGGAAATCCGGAGTACATACTACTACATACATACAGTACGTACGTAGGTACGAAGTATCGATTTCCACTTCTTCTTTCTTCTTCTTCTCCTTCTTCTTCTTCTTCTTCTTCTTTTCTTCTCTTCTTTTCTTGTACAAGTGGGGGCGCTAAGATGAAATAAGATGAAAAGAAATGAGATCCCTCCCCCCTCCCACCTCCCACATCCCATCCCACCCATCCTCCCCCCCCCCTCTCCAAAAAGGATAAGTCGCCGGATCTCGGATCGCGAATCTCCGGGCGAGAAAGTCCGTCTGTCGATTTGCTTGTCTGTCACGAATAAGGTTGTTCGTTTTTCGTTCGTTCTTCGCCCTTTTTTTTTCCCCCTTCGTTTTTTCCTTCGTTCGGTTCTTGGGTTTTTGCTTACCGGCGCGGGTGCGACCCCTCTTTTTAGTGCGTGCTTTAGTGTGGACGCTTGCTCCTTACGTGGAAGGTAGTAAGTAGTAGTAGTACTAGTACTAGTACTACTGGACCTACGGTACGGAGAGGGAGGAAGTTTGAGAGTGCTGTCCTTTTACAGGGTTGCGCGGATTGGATACCGGTAATAGTAGTATCATGTGTAGGCTAGGGAAGCCGAGGGGAGGATTAGGATGAGATGAGATGGGGTGGGATGGGATGGGATGGGATGAGATGGGATGGGATGGGGCGGGAGGAGGATGTGCAGGTGTAAGTAAACAATAACAATAACAACAACAAACAACAACAATCACAATAATGATATCAACATATACGTAATGAGAACAACCACACAAACAACCCACATCAGCAAAAATAACAACAACAACAACAACAATAACAATAACATTAACAATAATAATGTCACGACAATTAATCTTAATAATAATAATATGAGCCCCCAACCCCCTATTCCCGTCCCTTCCCTTCCCTTCCCCACCCTATCCATACGTAAGGTAGGTAACGTAACGCCCCCCCTCCTTTCTCACTCACTCACCTAGGTATTCCCACCTGAGAAAGATTTCCCTCCCCTTAACCTACCTACTTACACTAGAGACCTACGTACCTACCTCGATATCTTCAATCCAGTACACACAACACAAGCCGACGAAAACCACACAATCCAATCCAATCCAGTCCAAAAACCACACCCCCTAAGCTCAGCTAACCTAAGCTCAGCTAACCTACCTAGCAAGCAAAGCAAGCAAAGCAAAGCTAAGCTACCGTACCTCGACGAAAACGCCACTTCGTCACACGGTATCGCATCATATACCTAGTATCACATCATATCGTATCATTAGGTACCGTACCGTACCGTACCGTACCGTACCGTAAGTGATCTGCTCCTAGCCGCAACCAGGCATACCATGCCACACCATCCCATCCCATCCCATCCCCCACCGCGCTCAACGTCTTACTTCTTTCTACCTGCTCGTACGCACACACACACACACACACATACAACATGACATAATACCAGCAGCAGAATCTATTCGTATTCCTATTCTTACCTATTCCTCTTATTGGTTTCCCGTCGCAGCGCTCCCGCTTTCCTGATCGAGCTAGTCTTGGAATCCAAAAAGAAAAAGAAAAAAAGAAAGAAAATAAAAAGAATAAATATAAAAGCGGACGGAAAGCTTCAAAGGAGAGAAGGCTAGCGCGAACGAGACGTGAATACGATGAACGATGAACGGGAGGCGGGCGAGAGGTGAGATGAGGATGGACGATGACCACCAATAGGTAAGTACCATTTCGGAGCCGAGAGGTGCCACGTTCCCACCTGCGCAGCTCGTCACCTTCCCTCCAGAGGTACAGGTGCACTCATACGATACGGACAGCGGGAGTAGAATGAAAGAAAGTTATCGGCTTGTATCGGGACAAATACCTCTTTTCTTTCTGTTTGGGGGGGGAAGGGGGGGAAGGGGGAAGGGGGAAAGGGTTTGGGATAACTACCTACCTGACCCTACCGACCCAGCCAGCCAGCCTCACTCCGCCTCACTTTTCTCTTCTTTTCCTTCTTTCGTCTACCTACACCTGGGTGCAGTAAGTTTCGTCAGGTACCTACCTACTATACCTCCGTGAGAAGTACCTAATTTACTGTACCTTACCGTACTTAAGGAAACTGGCATGCATGCATGCATGAGCATGCAGCGCACGTACCTCAGTAGGTCACCCGTCACCCAGCAGCCAGCAGCAGTAGCCAGCAGTAGCCAGCAGCAGCCCGCAGTAGCCAGCAGCACCCCACGCATACCCGAGCAGAGTTTCAAAGGTGGATCGCGGCCGGCAATGACAGGCTTGCAGGCTTGCAGGCCTGCAGCTCGAGCTTCTTCGATACTGTACCGCAAGTAGAGTACGGTCACGGTCACGGTCCGGTACGGTACGGTGCGGTGCGGTGCGGTGCGGTACGGTAGACCTGCCCACGTGCCTCAGTGTACCTTTCTCTAAGCGCCCTCCTCCACACGATCGTCGGACCCGGCCGTGGCAGACCGGCGCGGCGTGCCTGTGAGTGGCCGGTGGCCCCCGAAGAAAGTCTCCGGCGGCGGTTGCGGTACCGTATGGCAAGATCAGGAACGAGAGAGGGAGAGGAGGGCGGGCGGGGGCGGGGGAGGGGGAGGGGGCGGGGGCGGGTCGGGGCTTCTTCAGATGAACGAGTTGTTGACCTTTGGGAGGCTCGCGTGTTCGGAAGTGGTTGGACCCCAGCGGGCGGGCGAGCTGGGCTAGGCTGAGCTGGGCTGAGCTGAGCTGGACTGGGCTGGGCGGGGCTGGGCGGGGCTGGGCTGGGCTGGGCTGGGCTGGGCAGCGGCTTGAGAGAAATAGGTAGTACTACGGTACTACTGTACTGTACAGTACAACTACTACAACCTACCTAGGTAGGTACTACTTACTACTTACTACGTAGTATCCTACTCAGTAGGGTAGGCGCTCGCTCGATCGCTCGATCGCACGATCGCACAGATCCCATTCGGTATCGCGTCACACCCCTTGGCCGGGCTTGTTCGTCGTATCCGGGACGACGAACCAAGGCACGGTCAGGCAGGTCCAGTCTGTTGCCAGCCGACGAGAGGGTCTAGGTAGGTATCTACAACTACCACTACTACAACTACTACTACTACTACTACTACTATGTATCTGGCTGGCCGGGTCGGAGGAATGCAAAGATAATCAATCACCAATTCCGATGCTGTAACACGGCGCAACCTCGTGTCCGTCGCGTCTCATCCTCCCTCATCCTATCCCATCCTATCCCATCCTCTCCCATGCCGATCCCATCCTTCCTGACCTTTCCCCCGCTGGCTCACTCGACAACGGGAGTGACACTCGGCCACCACCAGCCACCGCCACCGCCACCGCCACCGCCACCGTCACCGTCACCGCGCAGTGCGGACATCTGGGGCACATGGGAGATATGAGAGAGAGTGAGAGCAGATTGATCGTGCAGCAAAGTGTCGCATGGGCCCGTCGGGTGGTGGTGGTGGTTGGTGGTTGGTGGCGAAGAGAAGTACAAAGTTGTACTCTGTACTACAGTGCTTACTACTACAGTGCTTACTACTACTACTACTGCTACTACTACTACTACTACAGTGGTCGATCCATGAAACGTTTACCCGAACCTTGCGCTGCTGGCCGTCACGCTGGCCACGGACCACGAGGGAACATGTACGGAGTAGATGCCATGCCAAGCGGCCTGGGAGGTCACGTCAAGCTAATCTGCAGGTCGACTCCCCGGGCCCTATCGTCGCTTGACTGGGCTCCGAGGCAACCAGCCCGCGGAGCTGCGGAGCTGCGGAGCAAGCAAGGCCTCTCGACCGCACATCTTCGTCAGTACTTACTTATTTACTTACTTGCTTACTTGCTTACTTGCTTACTTGCTTACTTGCTTACTTACGTACTTGCTGCCTCGCTTGCTTGCTTGCTTTCTTTCTTTCTTTCGCATCCATGCATGCATGCTGTCGGTCGGTCTGTGGCCGATGCCCAGCCCGGAGAAGAGCGTGGCTCGTCAAGTCGGCAAGGGGGCAGCGAGTGTTACAGTACGGTACCACCGTATTGGAGCAGTACCGTACTGTATCGTCCCTGATCCGAGCCCCCTGCTCCTCGAAGCTGCCCACGAGACCGCGAACGAGGCGCTTTGCATCCCAGAGGATCAAACGACACGCGAGAGAGCGGTGTACGCAGAGATCGGGAGAGGAGACGCGGGGAGACGAGGGGGCACGAGGGGACACGAAAAGACAGGCGGCGATGAGTAGATGGGTGGGAGCTGAAACCGAATAAGATGAGAATAGAAGAAGGGACGGTTGGCCTGCTCTTGAGCTCAGACTCGGTTTCAAGTTCCCAAAGATCAAGAAGCTTGTCTGCGTACATGACCTGCGGAAGCACAGTGCACCATCCTTCCAGCTCCATACCTCGCTCCTCCGTTCATGCAGCGGTACTGACCTCACCTTACACCTTACCGGACCGGACCTGACCTGACCTGACCTGACCGGACCTGACCTGACCGGACCTGACCTGACCTGACCTGACCTTACATCTTACCTTACCTTATTACTCTTTGGCTCGCGCATCTGCATCATCTCCATCATCACCCCCATCTCTTCTTCCACTCGGCCCGCATCCCTCCTCCTCCTCCTCCTCCCTGATCCTATCTCTCGTGGCCAGCCGACCGGTCCAAGGTCGGTGGAGAAGAGTTGAAACCGTTCGAGCCCGCAATCCTCCTCCTCCGGCATCCCCTCCATTCATCAATCCATATCCTATATCCAGAGAGCCCAAAAAGCGCAGTCCAGCGCGTCCGAGCTGGTCGCTATAAACAATCCAGTCGAGAGAGTTCGGGCTGGTCGCTATAAACAATCCACCCTGCGACGCGAAGTTTCGCAAACAGTAACATCCCGATATCTGGAACAGGCTGTCATCCTCCCGAATCCCCCCCCCCCCCCCCCCCTCGCCCCCCTTCATCCCAAATATATACTTTGACATCCTCCGTCCATCGACCCGTGAATCCGGAAAAGTCGAGTCGCGTTTCCAATAGAGTGGATTTGCTTACCTGCAGCGAACGCTCGTTGGAGGGAAGCTTGGAGGATCAACACAGCGATCATTCCATCTCCCCCACCCTTTTACCTTTAAGCGTAATAACAGCGCAGAAACGTGGGATTCGGGGGGGGAGGGGGGGGGGGCGCAAAATTGGGGGGCGAAGGGACGCACTCAAAGTCAATGGTGGAGTCGCATCGGTCGGTATAGAGTATTCTTGGGATGATCCGATGCTATTAATACCGAACGTGGTGGGCGCAAGATCAAACGAAACGAAACGAAACCAAAGCAACAACCTGAGCCTATATCGACGAGAATATTGCTACGATTGAGGCCGATTTAGTCGGGTCTGGTCTTCCTCCTATAGGAACAACGGATTAGATTTGTTTGCATTGACAACCTGTTTTCCCTTTGGTCCGTTGTGCACTGCACTGCACTGCACTGCACTGCACATCTACCCGCACATTGGGGTTTTTGACGGGCACGGCACGGCACGGCACTCACGATCGCAATCGCAATCGCAATCGCAATCGCAATCGTAATCGTAATCGCAGGTGTTCGTTCCGACGTCATTACTACCTAGAGGAGGACCTACTACCGACGGAGAGCCGAGTGTTCTTTACGGGACTGATTAGCACCAGTGTTCAGGTGCAGTGCAACCCAACCCGACCCAAGTACCGCCCCGCCCCGCCCCACCCCGCCCGGTACCACCCATCCACAACCCACCAGTCAGGTTGGGCGGTTGGTCGGTCGGTTTGGTTGGTTTGGTTGGTTGGTCGGTTGGTCGGTCGGGTCGGTCGTTCGCAAGGACAAGGATCAGGGACACAGGGAACAGGGACACGGCGACAGGGAACAGGGACAGGAAACAGGGACAGGGACAGGGACTGGGGAAATATACTCCGTACGGTACGTACAGTACAGAACAAGGAACAGGGATCTCCCACGAAATTCCCAGCGAGAAACACAGAAATCCCCGGTCGCCGGTCGGGCCACGGGCAGGAAAACGAAGGGGGAAGGGACAAATCCATCCATCCATCCATCCCTCCATCCATCCATTTCCATTTCCATCCTCCTCCCGACCTCGACTGACCGTCCGGCCGGAAGCCAAAAACAAACCGGCCTCTCTGATCTCGCTGGTCGGCTCTCGTCATAAGCCTGCGCCTCCTCGTCTGATCTTAATCTCAACCTCCACATCAAACCTCAACCTCACTCAACCCTCACTCAACCTCGACTTCACTTCCTCATCTTCATCTTCCGTCTCCGCCGCCTCCGCTTCCGCTTCCGCTTCCGCCTCCTCCTCCTCCTCCTCCTCCTCCTTCTCCTCCTCCTCCTCCTCATCCTCCCCCTCCTCAACGCCCGCAACGGGCCGTCTGCATCTGCATCTGCATCTGCATCTGCGTCTGCGTCTGCGTCTGCATCTGCATCCACCTCTGCATCTGCATCCACCTCCACTTCTTCTCTTGCTCCCAATTGCCCTTCCCCGGACAACCGACAACCACTGCGCCTGCAACTTTCGCACCGCACCGCATAATATCAACCATCTTCCTTCGAACTCAACCCACAATCCCGTACCCCTCTGTGCGCGCGAACGAACGAGCAACCTACCTACCTACCTATCTACCTACCTACCTGCCTGCCTGCCTGCCCGGCGCTGCGCTGCCCCCCGTCTCGTCTCGCCCACTCGCCATCTGCGCCCACCCGTTCCCTGCAACGAAGACATGCGTTCGATCATACAGAGCTGGTGCTTGTTATAGTCCTCGCCTCCAACGCAATCCCTCTTCCCCTTCCTCTTCCCCGGCCTCGGTCCGCCAGCCAGCCAGCTTGCGCGCCGCTGGGCAATTGGTCCTTCCTCTCCCCCCGCACCCCCCCCCCCAACCCCTCCCCCAAAGCTGAAGGGTCGCGATGGCAGGCTCCAGAAGCGATACCGTTGCGCCCATGGCTACCTCGGCCAGCTTCGAAGTACAACCGCCCACCTCGGTGACCTCGCACCCGACGAAGCCCTCCCCCGCGAGATATCACAGACCAAGCCATGTTCAAACGAACGTCCAACCCCCAATCTCCTCGTCGGCGACCTCGGTCCCGGCTTCCGCAATCAGCACTTCGTCCGTGGCGAGCTCGAGCTCCATACATACCTCGCCCGTCATGTCTCCCGAGTCGATGCATCTCATCACGAATAGCTCCTCGATCCAGGCCTCCCCCGAGGGCTTGCGCGGTCGCGAAGCCGACTTCAACCTCCCCCCCTTCGAGCTCCCCGAATCGATCGTGTCACGGAGAACGAGTCAGAGTGCCATGAGCGAGGTCACGTCCATGGGCAAGTCGCCGGGGTTGATCAGAAGACTTTCGAACCGGGCGACCCAGTTTGCCGGCCGCCGTCGCCAATCGTCGACTACCGCCATGAGTCGGGAACACAGCACGGGGCCGGTGACCATGCGGCGGAGGAGTGACAGCACCAATACCGCCCCCGAGAGTGGAAGGGGAGCCTTGTTTGACTCGGAGGATGAATTCATCGGGAGTGACATACGGGAGGAGGCCATGGTGCCGTACGGATTTGAGAATCGGGATTTTCCCAGTACGACGGCCTCCATTGGCTCCAGCGGGTCCAGCACTGCCAGCCCCGGCCCGGGCCCAGTCATCCCCTCGATACTGCTACAAGGCACGAGCATGACCAAGGTGACGAAGAAGAACCGGACCAAGCTGTTGACGCTCGTGCTCGAGAAGGAGGCTGCCAAGGTGTCTTGGGACAAGAACCGACCTTCCAAGTCTTTCTACATTGACGACATCAAGGATATCCGAGTCGGAACCAACGCGCGAAACTACCGCAAGGAATTTGGCGTGTCCGATGACGACGAGTCGAGGTTCTTCTCCATCGTGTACGCCGTCTCAGACAAGTCCAAGGGTCGGTCACAGCAGAAGACGATGCATCTGATTGCCACGGATGACACGACTTTTGACCTCTGGACCACGACACTCGACGCCATCTCGAAGCACCGCCAAGACCTCATGGCGTCCCTCTCCTCCTTCCACGATAAGGCCGTCCGGGTGTGCTGGGAGAGAGAGATGCATCGGCTTTTCCAGGACCGGCCGCACTCCGAGGATGAGGAGATGATTGATATGGTGGGTGTCGAGCGCCTCTGCCACTCGCTGCACATCCACGGCTCGGCCAACTATCTGAGATCCCGATTCGAGCAAGCCGATGTCACGCGATCGGGGCGTCTCAACTTTGTCGAGTTCCAGGACTTTGTCAAGCTCATGAAGAGACGTGAAGATGTCCGCAAGATCTACGAAAACATTGCGTCCGACAAGAGCAAGGGCCTCACCCATCTCGAATTCTGCACCTTCCTTGCCACGGTTCAACATGATTATGACGACAAGGACCCGGCGCAGTGGGAGAGTGTGTTCAACAAGTTTGTCCGCAAATCCAAGTCCAAGGAGCAGCCACAGCAGGATGCCGGTGATGGCGATCTGTCCAGGATGAACGAAGCAGCGTTCACCAGCTACCTGATCTCAACCTTTAACCTCCCAACGAGGGGCGCGCCGGCACATTACACCCTGGACCGCCCCATGAACGAGTACTTCATCTCCAGTTCCCACAATACCTACCTCTTGGGTCGCCAGGTCGCGGGTCAGTCGAGCGTCGAAGCATACATCTCCGCCCTGAATCGAGGATGCAGATGCGTCGAGGTCGATTGCTGGAACGGTCACGACGGTCCGGTCGTGATGCACGGCCGGACGCTCACGAGTCAAGTGTCGTTCCGCGACGTGATGTCCACCATCAGCAAGTACGCCTTTGTCAAGTCCCCGTATCCCCTGTGGATCTCGCTCGAGGTCCACTGCAATGCACAGCAGCAAGCCCTGATGGCCGAGATCATCAAGGAGACGTGCGGCTCGAAGCTGGTCACGGCCCCCCTTGACCCGTCAGCGGAGCAGCTCCCGACCCCTTCGCAATTGATGAACCGAATCTTAATCAAGGTGAAGAAGCCCCGAAGCCCCGATCCGCTGTTGGGGGAGCAGGTTGGCACCCGAACGCGTGGCAACAGCCTCAACTCTCCATACATCCGACCGGTGCATCTGGACAACGGTCCCGTCTCCGCCGGCGCCTTACCGTCGCCCAGCGCGGGTGCGCGGAGAAACAAGATCAGCCACTGGTCCCCGCCGAAATACTCCGGAAGCGAAGGCCAAGAGAGCTTCAGTAGCAGCACCAGCGACAGCGAGGGTCTCGCCGACGATGTCTGCCGAGCCAAGGAGAGTCGGCGTGCGAACAAGACCAGCCACATCGTCAAGGTGCTCGGGGAACTCGGCGTCTACAGTGCCGGGCTCAAGTTCCACGGTTTCGACACCCCCGAAAGCAAGACGTACAACCACATCTTCTCCTTCTCCGAGAACACCTTTGACAAGAACGCGACGACGCAAGAGGAGAAGCGCATCATCACCCGTCACAACATGCGCTACATGCTACGGGTCTACCCGAATGGATGGCGCGTTGCATCGACCAACTTCGACCCGCTCAAGTACTGGCGACGGAGCGTGCAGATGGTCGCTCTGAATTGGCAGACGTACGACCTGGGGATGCAGATCAACGATGCCATGTTTGCCGCGGGCCAAGATGAATCGGGCTATGTGCTCAAGCCAAGCGAACTTCGCGAGATCAAGATGCTTCCCAACGTCCCGGAAGAAGCCGGTGCAGGCCATGCCAAGCGAGAACGCAGGAACGTCAGCTTCTCCATCGAAGTCATCTCGGCGCAGCAACTCATGCGACCCAAGGGTCTCGCCTCGAACCGAAGCGTGGATCCGTACATTGAAGTCGAGGTCTACCACGCCGACGACAAGACCAAGGACAACAGGGGCGTGGTGGGCGAGGGTGGCCTCGACGCTTCTGCCAAGGATGGCTCCTCGGGGCTCGGTGCACCCCATCGCAGACGGACCAAGATTGTTCAAGAGAATGGCTTCAACCCCATCTTCGAAGAGAAGTTCAATTTTGCTCTGACGACCAAGTACCCCGATCTGGTCTTCGTTCGCTGGACGGTCAGGTGTTCTTCGGACGGGTTTACCTACAGCGACCGAGGTTCTCCCCTCGCCACATATACCGCCAAGCTGAGCAGTCTCAAGCAAGGCTACCGAACCCTCCCGCTGCACGACATCAACGGGGACCAATTTCTCTTCTCCACCCTCTTCTGCCACATCAAGATCGACACTCCTACCAGCATCTACGTCGACAGCCCGGAAGCTTCCACGAAAGGTCTGAAGGGCCTCGGCCGGAATGTCTGGCACCGCAACACCCCCATGTCCCCAAAGATGTCCTTTGAAAGCGATCACTGATCGCACCTCCTCGCCGCCAACCCTACACCACTATGACACTATGTACAAAAACATCACTCATGTATTTACTACAACGTCCGCGAAGAACCGCGACATGTATACAACAGCTTGCTTCGATCCGTCATTCGCCAGCGCGCATCACTCTGGATCTCTCGACTTTCGATGGTCTCTTTTTACATATTTTCACAGGCGCAATCAGTCGGAAGAATTGGGAAATCGGACACAGCATACCACGGGGTAAATTATATAAACAAGGGAGGAACACAAAAGTGGCTCGCGCTGCGCTCTGCATTTTATGGTTTTTTTTTTTGTTTTTTTTTTCTTCTGTTGTTTCATTCGGCATTCCTCGCACGCGACACTCACCACGGCAAATCCGCCCACCAAGATATCTCCTTTGTCAGAGTCCTTGTTTTTACAAATTTATTCAGGAATTTCCAAGTCCTGGTGGATGGGATCCTGTTCGTTTTCGGGACGGCCGCGCTGCTTTACTTGTTTACTACTCTCGGCGGTTGAGGGCCGTCGCCAAGTTTTGGGTCAGGCTGGGTTGGAATCTTGCATGCAGTTTCTCTTTGGCGTTCTCATCGTTTTTGAAGGTCCGGAACCCATCTTGTTTGTGATATCCGGGCTTTTGGTTTTTGTTTGTTTGCAAGGGAGTGCACTGCATTTGGGATCGGAGGCATATGGGATCGGAGGCATTTGGGATTGGAGGCATCTTTCCTAGGGTGGAAGCTACTTCGGCGTACCATGGTTGGATGCGATGGGAATTGGAAGGGACATCAGATATCCGGGTCGGGTCACTTTGGCGCGTGCGTTAAGGAGGCTAGTTCTCTGTGTGGTTCTGGCTTGCGGGCCTGTCGGATAGGGGAGGGGCGATCGTTTTTCGAGAAGCTGGGTGGATCTCTCACTGCGTTCCGGGAGCGAGTGAGGTGGCCTTGATGCATGCTGCTGCGGCGGCTTCTCGGCTAATGGGTGGGAGGGGAACGGGGTAGTTTTAAGGGATTCAAAATAGCAAGCAACTAGCATTGCACAATTCACGTAGTAGATCCTACAACCAAAGCTTTGCTACCTATTCCAAACGCTCCCGTACATCCATGTGAATCCCCTATGACTGGCGGGTATGGATGGATCCTGATTTGTGACTTGATTTGTGCCTTTTGTGCTTGTGACTTTTGATTACAGAGAAGCAGGGGCGGGGGGGGGTAAAAATAGTCGACATGGTAGTTCAAGCATTTGAAAACGGCCTGCCTCGCTCGAATAAAAATAAAAAAAATATAAAAACCTCGGGGTCCCGTTCCACTGGAGTCTGATGATACTTTCTCGTGGGGCGGGAGCGTAGGCCTTTTTTTGGGGGGGTTGGAGAGGGAGAAAGAGAGAGGGATTGGAGAGGGAGATGGAGAGGGATTAGAAGAGAGGTTGAAGAGAGATTGAAGAGAGAGAGAGATTGGAAAAAAAAAGAAAAAAAAACGGAAAAGAGATTAGGAAAGAGAAAGAGAGATTGAAAGAAAAGAGAGATTGGAAGAGAGATTGGAGAGGG